AACAGTTCACAGTAAACCGCAGGATATCAGGGTCAGTTAATTATCCACCACTTTCACAATCAACAACTCACCACACTGTGTGAAAAGTATTTATTTTACATGAAGACTAACTGGTCAAATTTTACAAAAATGTTCTTCGGTTGAAGATATGATTTTGTTTTAATAGTCAAGTTTGCCAACGGAACAGATTTTAAAGCTTGAATGCTCCGTATTAATGGAGCATTGTGATGACCTTGCAGTATAAGGGATAATGTTAACATCTCAAGTTGACCCACTTCCTCACCATTTTCAGAGCTGACTTTGTAATCATGGCTGACACTAATGATGAATCTCATTAGCAATGATTTCTCCCTTCACTAATTCAATTTAGTGTAAAAAAAAAAATCACATTTGAGAAAATAGAAAAAGCAATGTTTAGGTTTCAAATAACTTGAGAGATGTTCTGATTATCAATCAAATGATTCTGTAAATTGACTAAAAATAAACATTGTACCGTATTTCTTTTAAGGTAACAATGCCAAATATTTCCTAGCCTTTCAGTTGTAAGGATTTCAGCTCGAATAACTATATATTTTGTCTTAGATGTAAGTGGACTAGTTGTTTTTAGGATTTTGAGTTCCCTTGTTTTTTATAACTTTTTAGAGTACTTGGGTTTAGGGCTGCACGATTTGGGGAAATAATATAATTACGATTTTTCTGACAGATATTGCGATTCGATTTGCGATATTTGTTTTTAAGCGACCCAACAGAAGTTTATTGTAAAATGCGGCCATATCTCCGGCTAGGAAGGTCGCATCAACGTGCTCCCGTCTCTAGCACCCCCGCTGCCCGAGCTACGAGTGAAAGAACTAAACTTACATGAAACTTCCGTTGGGTTGCTTTAAAGTCAAGCTTCAGTTTAAGATTCACCCTGTCATAGAAACATGTGATGGAGCATTACTAACCTGACTCAGATGGTTTCACCAAAGCATCTAGGAAAGCTCCATTGGAAGCCATTTGGAAAGGGCAGGCACTTTCAAAAACACTTGGCAGGTGATTGGATCAATCTGTCTATCACCTTCTATCATGGGCCACTTCTGATTGATTAACAATGGCTGGTACATGTGGAGCACAGCACTTCTGATTGGTGTGGGATGACTGACGCACAAGAAGAACAAAAAAAATTGCAGGCTTTGCGATTTGATAATTGCATCATTTCAAATCACGAAATCGATTAATCGTTCAGCCCTACTTGGGTATCAGTTATTCAATTAATTTAAACAATCAAGTCCTTTTAGTGCTACATCATGAACAGGCAGTAGCAGGAGAAAAGTCAGTGATTCATTACTGTTTCCAAACATTATTATCTTTTACGATACGTTTTATTGCCTTGGTCAGAAGTGTACTGCTTCAATTCGTCACAGCAGCCATGTTGTCAGTCTTCAGTCTTCAGTGTGCCTTTTGTATTAACTCTGGCAGCAACAGCGGAGCCTATAATACCATTTGATATGGTCGGGGCTCTGCTTAGGGGTAACTCAAGCAGCGCCGCATTAAAGACTGCATCCTCTCGCCGTCCGTTAGATTCAGATCCGTCCCGTCTGTAATCCAAGACGACTCTCTGACCCGGGGCGATTTGATGGGCTGCTTTTTTAACAACCCTAGTGAAGAATCCACTGAATAAATAAAGCCGTCCCAAATTCCTCCGCTGGCATTTAGGTCCGTGTCCTGATTTTGTAAATTATTAGAATAAGAATCAGCTGTATAGCCTGTATACACTCTTCTAGAAATGACAGTACTGTGGTCCTGTGTCCTCGGCTCACCTTAACGTGGGTGGACGATGGAGAAGGCTTAATTAAAATGCACAGCTTGCCTTTTGTTGGATGTTATCATCTAAAGTGATTTGGCTTACTGTATCATGTATTAATAAAGTGTGTTTACAGGATGTTTGGCCCCAGAGATCACAGGTTGAGCAAAATGTATAGGAGTATGTAAACCCAAAAGGGACAAAAGCAGACGGTTGCTTATTTTTGCTTTGTTTTTAATTATTTGTAAATGTCTATGTTCTTTGATTTTGTGTTCAGGCCGGAGAAAGAACCCCAGTTTAAGTTCATCTACTTCAACCACATGAACCTGGCGGAGAAGAGCACGATCCACATGAGGAAGACGGCCAGCGTGTGTCTCACCTCGGTCCACCCCGACCTCATGAAGATCCTGGGAGACATCAACTGTGACTTTGCCAGGTACAGCAGAAAACTGTCACACTTTAGCTGTGTTTATATTCACCCTATGGGCCTCCACTGATCTATTGTTATTAGGGATGTAACGATACCAAAAACTCACGGTACGATATTTATCGCTATATTGAAAAATTAAGGGAAAAAAACATGTTTTACTTGAACATTTATTTATTTATTTATGTTCTTTTATAAATAATAAATCTGATTTGTACAGCATTTTAGTAGAATAGTAGTATTTTAAAGTGTCAAAAACAAAGTGACAGTAACAGACTGGAACCAACCAGTGGTTTTTACTATACTACCAAACAAAGTAGGCATTTTCTTTGTGCCACTTTAGTTTTTCAAGTAACTCAACTCAAACTCACTCACTCACTCAGCATCAGACAGGTTGTTCTTTAGGAATATGAGCATGTCCACATTTCCAGGTAGAAGCTGGGATGTTTGGGCGTTTACAATATCCCCTGCTGTGGACAAAGGTCTCTCGCTTGGTACTGATGTTGCTGGGACAGCAGTGGTCGCGTTAACCGAATATTCTTTTTAACCATGACGGAAAAATGTGAAAGCAGTTTGTGATTTTGACAGATTAGAACAAACTCGGAACAGCGCCAACGTTTCCCCGCAGCGAGGCTCTGGTGTTTGCCGTGTTATGCATGCCCTCCAAAAAGAAATGATATAGTTTCCAAACCGTACTTTGCCGTACAGATCATTGAAATGTCTGGGACTTTTTGCTTTACGCTGTGCGCGTTCCCGTGAGGTGCATGCATATCTCGGTGGGCATGCATAACACGGCATAACACATCCCTAATTGTTATAGTGACTGGCCACAAATCAGCTTGAAAGCATCCAATGGAAACCACAGAATAGAAATACTTGTTTTAGTGTTAGTGAGGAAAGCACATTTCACAAACAGTGGAAACTAAATAATGAAAAACTGAGTAAAACTTTATTTTTTTCATGGATATCACCACAGCTGTGTCTGTTTACACATAAGTGTGAAGCTCCTTCTACTGTTTCACTCACTCCCTTTTGAGCAGTCATGAGCCTGCAGTCATGTGAGTCCCATTTTCAGCCTGTGGCACGTTGTGTGGTATTGACCGTATTTATCCCAGTATCACTATCGGTTCCTCTTTGAGTGCAGATGTTGTGCAGATGCTGCTGGTCTTTTTAATTTGTCAGCACACAAACATACATACAGTGCAGTTTGTGTAATTACATGTAGGTCATTTTATTATGAAATTCAAGATTTTAGTATCTCAAAAAAAGAACCTGTACGTTGTTTCTGAGCCAAACCATAACAAATCAAATGTTATGACTTATAACACTTTAAATGTGGTAGTTGCCTTTATGTGATGGTGCTTTGCTCTTTTACCCCCCTCTCAGGGTTGATGAGGACGAGGAAATCATCGTAAAAGCGATGACAGACTACTGGGTAGTCGGCAAGAAGTCAGACCAGAGAGAGCTGTATGTGATCCTGAACCAGAAGAACGCCAACCTGATCGAAGTGAACGGTATGTCTCCACCACCTGGTGACGAGCAAACCTGCGTCATTACACAATAAACACACTTCTTTCATCTCTTCCTTAATGTCCTTTTTGTCTTTGCTCCACCACAGAGGAGGTAAAGAGGCTCTGCGCGACGCAGTTCAACAACATCTTCTTCTTGGACTGATGGAGCTGATGAGACGGAGACTGTTCCCCCACACTAACACTGTCAGAGTTGCAGGGTATCATGACAGCATCAGCGTAATGCAATAATTGCATTGTAAAATAAAAACAATTAAAAGCTTTCTCACCAAGTTTTTATTTTATTTAACCTTTAAACATTTTTTTTATTTTCTCTTGTAATTAAATGTAAATCCAGATTTTTACTGTACTTTAATTTTCTTTGTACATACTTAAAGGATTTTGTTAACTGTTCATTGGGATTTCTTTAGAAACAATTTGTTCACATCATGAAAATGTCTCAAATTAATTAAAAAACTGACGTGCACACTTTACGCCCAGGTTTCTTTGATCATCAGTGATTATTTTAAATACGATGTCTTCATGTCAAAAGTATTGTGGTTTGTAAACAACTGCGCTAACTTTAAATAAATGAAGAAGTCATTTTACTCGGTGTAAGAAATGTTTTTGTTTAGGTAAGGATTAAGTAGCAACATCAGAGATTATGTTTATTTATTGGACACATTTTCAGATGAGAATAAAGTTTGACATTACCTCTGTTGTGGTTGTGTTTGTGTTGCCCTTTATAAAACAGTAAGAAAGTTGGTATATTGTTTCTTTGCAGTTTGTTTTGCTTTATTTTGTCTTTTCTAAGCAATTATGCCTTTTTGTTGTTCTTTTTTGAAATAATTAATGCATCTAAAATATAGGTGAACAGCAAAAATAAATAATTGAAGGATTGGCCTCAATTAATTTAAATTAGAGGCCTTCTAACATGCGAGGGATCATACATAATTGCTGTGTCAAGGCCCAGATACAGTACTATTCTAATCCTATGGATGTTTTCATAATCTTTAATCAATTCAATAAGTTAAGGAGCACATTTAAACTCTGATAACACGGGCTACTGAGTTGTGATGTTTATATAATAGCGTCTCCATCCGAGAACTAATTTGTTTTTTAAACTGTTAAATGTACACTTCCCACTCCACACCAATAGGTGGCATAACATCCTACACTCATCACTACAAAACCAGAGAAGAGGAACAAAAAGGACCAATCAGCGCTCGTTGTCCCATTTTCAGCCAATCAGCGTCAACCTTGATGAAATTCAAAAAGTCAACCGCCATGGTTGTTGTGTATTTCAGGCTGAACTACCTGTCCGTTCGTTGAGCAGTAGGTGTTTTTACTGCACGGTTAGAAAACGGAGTTTGATTTTTATCCGTGTTTTTAAGAAGAGCAAGGTAAAATGAATGTGTTATTATATAATTCGTTAAAAGGCAGTTCTATAGTTGGTTGCTAACGGAACATTCCCTCTTGGTGATGAGCTGTACTAACGCTTAACGTCTGTTTAGATTCCTTAACTAACTGTGCTAACATTAGCTACATTTGGCTCGTCTTTATCGTACAAACTAACTTATTCTACGTTAACTGTTACAGTAATAGGAACGGGATTTGTAACGTTAATCATACGGTGTTTGATAAACATTAGTTAAAGTTTGATCAACTTAACTTTGCGTTGGATTTTGGACCACTGGTTTTGAATAGGTTACTGTTGTGTAATTTGTCCATGGAAAGTGTTTCATCATACATTAACGTTACAACGTGTTTTTTTTTCCCTTTGTGTTTCGTCTTTACGTTTTTTAAGTTAATGTACAGTTAAATGTAGGTTTTAAGGTCAGCTCACCGTTATCTGTTAGACAGCTAAACACTGAGGTGTATTTAGCGTTAACGTTAAGAGGATTAAAAACAATCATTTGTAAGTTCGATATATGATTACGTGTTCATGTTATTTTTGAGAAGGGGCTGCTAGTTTCAGTTGAATCCTGATGGTCAATTGACGTCATAGGTAATGACTTTTGTTGACTAAAAAGTAATACAGGAAATGAATGTGATGTGACATCAACAGTCAGTTAAAGCAATGCATTTTGTGTCTATTTCCAATCACTTACCTATTTTATCTGTTTTTATTTTTTTACTATTTTTCATTTCCACGTTATGTGCAATGCCATGTTTACATGCTGTGGTGACGAAAGCAATTCCCAAATTAGGATCAATAAAGTAAATCATATGTTATTATACCAGTTGCGTAATTATAGCTGACCACAGTTCAAAAACTGATGCTAATACTTTTTTAGGTTTTAAATCCTATCACTTTTATTTAGACCCTAAACATTCATCTTTTTGTAGAAGTTGGCAAAACCTCTACCACTTCCAATGTGATTTACTTGAATACCTGTCATAACACCTTGTATTCTGATCCTCTTTACTCCAGATACGTGAACATGGATTCACGATTTGCTCACCTGCGCCAGCGGGACGCCAGCGTGTCGATGCTGAGGGTGAAGATGTCCCGCAGGAGGTCTCAGTCTCAGAAGGAGAACAGACAGCGGGCCATGAACACACGCAGACAGCTGGACCCACTCCCAGAGATGGAGATGTCTTCCCTGGACGCCTCCACTGCGATGGCCAACATGTCAGTTATTCAGGAGAAGACACTGAACAATGCCAAATCTGCTAAAAGTATGGCGTTATTTACCACCAGAGCTTTGAGTTTAATAACTTGTTCACAATAAGGCACTCCCAACATAACCCTTTATTTTCCTCACAGATATGGCTGGAGAAGAGAGGTTGAAGCAGCTCCAGCGCTGGAAAGAGCGTAAGACTCTTGAAAAGGAGAAGGAAATGAGAGAAAAGGAGCGTAAAGGTGTTTTTAAGACGGGCCTGTATCATCCAAAGGACGATCTTTCCATCGCCCCCCTGCCCACAGTCCCAGCTGGCTCAACTAGATCTAAGGGGGTGAGGGGCGGATCATCAAAACACTAGTTTACACTGTAAACAACACACATGCAATCTAATAATAATAGATTTATTTTGTTAGCGCTTTTACAGGTGCTCAAAGACAAACTGTCTAATTTGTTATTTTTATTTCAGCCTTTGAACACAACTGCATCCCAGAGTGTCAGAGTCACTCGATCAATGAAACAACAGCAGCAGCAAGTGCAAAAGGTAATACGATATTTTTCTCATATGCTCACATATTAACGTCCAGAAAACCAAAAGCTGATATAAACTTTGTTGTGCTTTTCTTCCACCACATTTTCCACAGCCTCTAAAGACACAGAATCTGAATACTGCAACAAAGAAAGGTAAATGGAGTCTCTCAATGTTTTATATGAAGCATATTGTTTTCTGTAACCTGGCGTCTTATAGATCTGACCTCTCTCGCCTCCTTTAGCTCAACCTGCTGTGGAAAGATCCACCAGGAGCTGGGTCGCTCCCGTCAAGCCGGCACCGGCTGCTACCAAGATCAAAGTTTGTGCCGGTAAGAAATACAATAAAGGAGCCCATAGCGCGACCTTGAGACCAGCTTTCAGATTGGTTTCACCCTATTGTGTTCCCTTATTTGCATTCTGTGTCTCTGTAAATCCTACTGTAGTGGAGCCGGTCGTACGAGCTGCGTCGGCCCGATCAGCCAACAGGCCTCCGGTTACAGCTCCTGACGTGAAAGGCAAACCTAAGGGCAAGCCTGCAGGTAAACACTGAACCATGGCCACAGTTTAGGCATTTTTATTGCATAAAAACTGTTAAAAGCACTTGAAATGTGACCATCAACGCAAACAGAGATGCATGCTTTGTTTGGTAAACCCACTATTTTGTATTCTTCTCCCATTTAGATGCAAGAACCACAAGGAGCAGAGTGTTTGTCGACCATGTGGCCCCCCCTTCTGACCAAGAACAGAACTGTAAAGGTATCCTTACATGTTGATAAAGAGCCATCCAATTATGCATACTAGGGCTGCACCATATTGGAAAAGACTGACATTGCGATATTGTTTTATATATATATATATGAAAAAATACAGGAATTGAAGAAAAGACCATCCTTTCTTATATAGTTAAACTATATTTAACCGATGAAGGATTTTAGTCACGGACTTCTGGATCTTAAAGAGTCTGTGACAGCATCCCAGCAACTGTTGTGCAATGAAATATTGGGCTACTAGTAATCTCGAACCGTAAGTTTAAAAAAGAAAAAGCGATACCGTTCCGTTAAATAACAATAATTTCGAACATCGCGGGGAAATTCCTTCGACTCATTTTGAAGTTTTGGGGGAAGCCGGAAGTGACGTCAATGCGGGAACGCTTCACTGTGCGGCGAGTAGTGTTGTCACGATGCCAACATTTTGGTTTCGATACCAAGTCAAGAATTGCGATTCCGATTATTTTTCGATACTTTTCTTAAAAAAAGGGAAACAGTCTTAAATGTAATTATTGTGCTTTATTTCACACCAGAACCAGAACACAAACTTTTAAACAATGAGAACAATAAATTACAATAATTCGTATTAAATCAAATGAATACATGTCTTACAGACAGGCCTCGTGGTGTCCGTAGGCTTGCCCTCACTGTCAGAGATATAGCTCAAATACTTCCAAATTTCGCTTCTGGCGTCTTTTTTGTCAACAAGCCGAGGCGCAGCGGCAGTTGCACTCCCACTTGCAGCCATGCTTCTCGTTTTCTCACATGCTCTGGCAGCTAGCGCGTGGCCGAGTGCACGAGAGAGGGGAGGGACTTAGAGCGTGCTTGAGAGGGGAGGGACTGCAGGCACGGCTGCAGGGAGTGGAAGCAGAGCGCTGAACACACACGGCTCTTTATTAAAACAGCGCTTTCTCACCGGAGTACTTTCCCCCGTCATTCTTAAAGTACCGATACTAATGAAACGGAGGAATCGTAACGTTTTTAACGGCAGGGTATCTAGCGGCGAGAGAGCCAAACACGGACAAAGTGTGTTGTCATGCGTAGAAATGGTGAATTACTGAGTTTAGGCACGTCAATAACGTTGTAATGAAGTTGACTACAGTATATTCATATTTGTCAGTGCTTCATGTCAATTCGGCGAACATAAACATAAATGATCGTGGTGAAGATGATGATTACATTAGGATTACAAATCGGTAGTGAGAGCTACTGAATTTCCTCCCGTAGGATGTGATATAAAAACAAATCGATTATTTTTGTAGTTGTAAACTCAAGTGGATGAAACTACATGTATTAGTGCTTTCATGTCAATTCGGCGAACATATGATACATTAAATGATCGTGAGAATGATGATTACAAATCGTTTGTTTGAGCCGGTCTGCATTTCCTGATGAGAAAACAAACCGATGCTTTTTGTAGTTGTAGTACACCAACATGGATTAAACGTGTGTTTTTTTTACCACAATGTTGGGGAAATTAATGGATAAAATGCACGGATTATTATTATTATTATTCCCACTCCGATCGGGACACTAGGTCCACCGTTTCCCCGCAGCGAGGCTCCCCCCGTTGACAGTTTACGTGGGCTGGGTGCAGTGGCGGACTGGCCATCGGGACGAATCCCGATGGGCCGGTACCGAAGTGGGCCGGTCGGATAAGTCGCTAGCACATCCCCCATAGGCGGCGCGTGAGGCTCAGGTTTGGGAAGGCTAAATAACTTTTTTTACTTCGTAGTAGCCTACAGGGCACAGGTGACTAGCAGCGCTAATGTCAAAGACACAGACATTGCATTATATTTGTATTTTACGAGGATGCAGTGACACAAATATTTACATATTTACATTTACTATCTACAGCACCCGCCGCCCCTGACATCCCCCACTCCCCCCGTTGACAATTTACAAGCGGTACCGAAGTGGGCCGGTCGAGAGTCCCGGGATGATTTTTAGTCCCATTCCACCACTGGCTACATGACCGTATGATCGCCCATATTGACGCACCTAATTCCTAAACTTCTAACAGATACAACATAAACCGATCCTTCAGCCTCATATGAGCTCTCAGACACGTTCAAAATTAAACTGTCATCGCTGTCTGAGCTTGCTGCTGTGTGCGCCATCGTGCGTTCACATGCGGATGCTGGGATCCTGAACGGTGCGGCTGGAGCGCTGTGCCCGCAATGACGTCACACATAATTTGGCGGGACTTGAAGAATCCCAGAGAAGATCCAGAAAATGGTCAACATTGAAGGGCAGATTAATGGTTATGAAAGTACAAATATCCAAAATCAGTTCAGTAACGGTTTTCAAGGAGAGAATATTTACTCAAATTGATGGGTTTGGATGATGGGGGAAACTCGTGTCACAGGCTCTTTAAGTTATCAGAGCAACAAGCTGAGCTAGCTCGGTTAGCCTGCTGTGGTCTGATCAAGAATGGTTGTGATTGGTGGTTTGCTGTGCATGCAGAGCCGGCATGTCACTCACTCAAGAACCCCTGACATGAGAGCTGCGCGAGTTTTCCTTTTGTAGCAAGCAGCAAAAGAATTGTAACATGACGTGTAGTTAATTTGCCTACTTAATATCGCACGTCCTAAAAAAAACGCACGTCCTGCGAGGTGAATATCGCCCATGCGCATTGCACGATTATCGTCACAACACGATATATATAACGCAGACTGTTGCTTAGTTTTATGTTATCCTCTAAACTTTATATAACTTTATGTATTTCTGCTTTTAATTTACAGAAACTGACAACACTGTGGAGCCTGCGGTGTTCAAGGTGAGCTTTTATTTGAGTTTTACGGTTGTAAAATAAGTTGGTGCCTTTTTATGGTTTGAAGCTTCATTCATAAAGTTGAGATTTTTACCACTATGGTTGATACATTAGTTTTTTTGTTTCATATAGGTGCCTGAGATGCAGGAGCCAGAGGAAGACATGGTGGTGGACCCAGCTCCAGCCGACTCCATCCCTGCTGAGGGTCCCGTCGATGCGCCACCCTCATTGTCTTCTTTTGCTCCGACGGATTTCATTTTCAAGGCTCCTACCGGCTTACCATCCTTCAAGTTCGATCCTCTCACTCCTCGCTCTGCAGACGTTTTCCTCACTCCAAGGTCAGCCTGATCCCCTCTTCTCTGTTGGTTAAACACTCGATAAGCTTAAACATGTTTGCATTGTTACATATACGCCCATGGCAGTAAATATTAAACATCATGGTACCGGATATTATTTTGTCCTGTCTAAATGCCATGTTGTCACTTTTTCTTCCCAGCCCCAGCTTCGAGGTCTTCGCCTTCAACGTGGAGCCTGAAGCTGAGCTAAGCGGACCCTCTCCCCCTCATACCTCTCCTACAATGGCCCCTCCGACTCCAGGCAGCCTCCTGGAAACAAAGCATGACGTCTCATACTTCAGGTAGCATTTTTGAATATAAATGTTTATCCTAAACATTTTTAAGGTGATTCAAAGTTTTTTAAATCACTTGTTTTTTGTGTATTATCCAGATCGGAAATGTCCAAAGAGACGGGCGCACTGTCAGCTCTGTGTGTCGCCTGGGAGCCTAAAGTGGAAGACGAGTCAATCCCGGAAGAGAGTGAGTGTGACGACGGAAATATTGCTTAAAGTCTGGGTTTTCTAATGGAGACTTGTTCCCTCGAAAAGCAGTCCTAATTCTGTCTGTCCTCTCTGTCCAGTGAGAGACAGTATACGTACAGTTGTAGGCCAGGCCAGGCTGCTGATGAAGGAGCGTTTCAAGCAGTTCGGCAGTCTGGTGGACGACTGCGATCTGAGCCGAGGCGAGAAGATCACCACCTGCACCGACCTGCAGGGGTTCTGGGACATGGTGTACTACCAGGTGGGTTCAGGTACCAAATGATAAAGAGACGCATCATTATATATGTTGAGGTCTTACAATGCACTGTATTTTGTACCTTTTATTCTACTTTTAGTTTGTTCTCTTTGCTTTTTTTACATGTTATTCTGCTGCACTATATCTGAACGCTCTTAATGTTTTACATTTTTGTAAAGCGCTGTGTTGAAAGGCGCTGTATAAATAAACATGCCGTGCCTTACTTGTGCCATTTTAGGTAGAGGATGTGTACAAGAAGTTTGAGGCTCTGAAAGTAGCAGAGAGCCAAAGCTGGGTGGAGGAGCACAAGCCACCACCGCGACAGAGGAAAGCAGTGAAGGTAAGGACTCTTTGCAGTGCATATATATATTAAATATGTTTGTTTAAATAGGTACGGTGTCTTGTTTCGATGTAAAGACATTAAACCCTTCATGTGTTTTTGACAGAAGCCATCAGCTGCACCTGCCAAACCCGCAGGAACGAAAGCAGCAGGAGCAAAGTCTCGTCTGGCTGCTGTGAAGGCGGCCATGAAAGCCAAACAGCAGGCAGCCGAGGCGGAGAAAGCAGCAAAGGATGCTGGGAACGATGAGGAAAACCCCAGCTTAGACTCTCAGGGACCAAAGCCTGAAGCAGAGCCGCAACCCGCTGCTCAGGTGGTGTTCGACGGAGGGTTCTTCCAGGTGGAGAGCCCAGCCAGACCGTCAGGAGGTGAGAGAAAACAACTTGATTGTGATATCATCTGTCAGCGTTTTATGTATTTTCAGAATCAGAATTCCTGTATTAGTCCTACGGCGGGGAAATGTGCATTGTTACAGTACAAGTTCCAGGTTTATTGCACAATATTTCAACAGTTTACCCGGATGAATAACAATGTCTTTTTGTGTCTAGGTTCAGTGAGGGGATCCAGCCGCCTGAGTGCCGCCCCTCAGGCCTCCCCCTCCTCCAACTACCTCACCCCCAGAAGATTCACCCGGGGGTCCCTCGCTCTCTCACAGACCCCCGTCTCCACCGCTGCCTCTCCCTCTCACACTCTCCAAACTCCCGCCCTCCTCCGTCTCACCCTCAGAGAAACCCCAGCTCAAACACCCAAGTCTCAGTGCGGCACTCCTCGCAACGTCTCCCTCAACGTCTCCCTCTGTTTCTCACCTGCCAAGGAAGTGCGTTCAGACGACACTCGGCCAGAAAAGAGCCCTGCGCACCCAGCAGTCTCCATGCAGGAGAACACTGCTGCTGTTCCTGAACTGAACACTCCAACACCTGTACGCTCACTTCCGTCCATTTCTGTCGTCATGGAGCAGGAGGAACCCTCCGAGGCCGTCAATGTGGACCTCCCTCTCTCTTCAAGGCTCTCCCCCTCTCCTTGTAAAACTCCTCTTCCTGTCTCCCATGCCCCTGAGCCCTCACCATCTCTCAGTTTCATGTTGTCACCCTGTGTGACTCCCAGCCAGCCTCCCGTCTCCCCCCCTCCCGCTGTGGAGGCGTCAGAGTCTGTGTGCCAAACACCTGACGCCTCAGTTGTTGAGGTAAACACATTTCCCTTCTTGTATTAAAGGGGCCCTATTATGCTTTTGGGGAGTTTCCTTTCCTGTATTGTGTTACATAGGTTTCTGTGCATGGTCTGCAAAGGCTAAAACCCCTCCAGAGGAAGTTTCTCTCCCACACACTCCCACCCTGCCCGAAACACCTACATTGGACTCCTTTTTGTTTACTTTAGTATCATAGTGACATCCCTATGTATCACTTGGCATCTATTGGCTAAAAGCTCCAACACATTTGACATGATAGGTTAAGGGGCGGGACATCTCTAAGCGGCAGTATGAGAAATAAAGAGCTTTTTGAACATTAAAGCACAGTAGTCACAGTAGAGACACGACATACTGATATACACCTGAACATGAGCAGAATATATCCTATTAAAGAAAATCCCACATAAGATGTGATAGAAACGTTTTTCCCTTTCCTAGTTATTCTTTTTTAATTTCAGGAGATTCCCGGGATGGACTTTGAGCGTTACCTCCAGCCTTCACTGAGATGCAGCCTGTCGCCGCAGGCTACAGTTGCCGTGGAGACACTGTCCCCCATGGCGGTGGATATGGAGATGGAGAGTCCCGGAGGTCCATCAGAGGACCTGCCCTCTCAAAGGGAACCAGGTATGATTGATGCCCACAGGTACTATGCATGCACTCAAGCACCTGAGTTGTATTCCCTAACAGCACCAACGGAAACTAAAGCTGCAGCAGGCGGGACTTCTATGTTGACATTTATTTAAAATGAGCAGAACTAGAGTTTATATTAAAGTAAATTGATTTAATGCACACCTTGTATCTCAACCATTAGTTTATTGGTTCTCTTGTAAAGTAATAGCCGCTTTCACACCAAGTACTTAGTTCCCAGCATTTAGTTCCCCCATGGAACTAAAATGCAGATCGCGTTCACACCGGAATAAGTCCCTGAGGGAGGGTTAGGCAAATGAAGCAGCTGACGTCACTTCTTCTTCTTCTGCTTTGGGTTTACTGGCAGGCCGCAAACAACTTCACGGCGTATACTGCCACCGGAAGTCCCCGGAGTTGGGGACTGGTGTCAGTAGAAGCTGCTGGGACTCCCAGCAGCTTCTACTGAAGCCTTCCGAGTAAATCGCCAGAACGTCGACACCTCCTCATCTCCACCGCTCCCATGTTTTTTTTTTTGTTGCCATAAGTTATTCTCCCCCCCTCTTTGGTGCACGGGGCTAATGCTAATAATGCTAATGCCAGCAAATACAATGGCGGCTTCACAAAACTGTTCCGAGTTTTACGGGGCGTGGTTTGCAATTCGCCCAGCCCATCAGAAATAGGAACCTTTTTTCTCCCCAGGAAAGTACCTGCTCTCTAGCCGGGACTGAAAAGGGGGTAAAAGTTCTCCATGAACTAATTTCGCTTTTTGGTGTGAACGCAAAATCCCAGGAACTATCGGAACTAAAAGGGAACAGTACTCCGGCGTGAAAGCGCCTATTATTTTGTAAAAAGTCCAACACCTTATATCTCAACATCCTTTAATTTATTGGTTCTTTTTTTGTACAGTTATGGTGACACTCTCCACCTTACTTGATTTCCCCAAAAGATACACAATAAACATTGAAGATGCGTTTGATAGCACTATTTTTTATTTTCTATAGTTATATTTTCTATAAGCAAGATAATATCATTGTTTTGGACACTAAAAATATAAAATAATGACGTGATTTTTCTGAAATATCCCACTAAATGCTGCAGCTTTTAGAGAGAATGCTATTGTGATATGATGGGTTACCACAGTCTTTCTTCTGGGATATGGTTTTGTTTAACTGCACATTTTGCTGTCTTCACTCCCACTTATTCTCACATGTTTTATTTTCACCACAGCGGGTCCAGAGGTGTCTTCAATGTTATTTCTTCAGTCACCACAGGTCAATTTTCACCTTTTTTGATTTCTTTACTTCCAAAACTCTTAACTTTACTCTTTTTATTCCAGCCTTGTCGTTGCTGAATATTCATACTGTATTTTTTGTTCCTTTTCCACAGATGCAGAAAGCCGAGTATGACATGCTCCTCTTCACCCCCGACATGAAGGAGCGGATACGACAGTCCGTCTGTCCGAGTGACCTCATGGTCTTCACCCCTCCCTCTAATGTGTAGCAGAGATTTCCTTTACATTTTTATTTGTTACATATTTTAACTTCTACTTCTACTCTGTTTGGAAGAAATCACCGAAGAGATTCTGGTTCGTGTTTTTTCCCCCAGAAAAAAGTTTTGTCTTTTATAAATAAATCTTCAGTTACAACCAGGAAATGGCTCAATGATTTTTTTATGAATTGCCTGTGGATGGTGCCGGTACAGAACAGTGAGTTTAATGCTGCTGTCTTCAGGTTTCTCTGCTGCAGCTCCAGCTTCCTCTACCTGTAACAATAGAGAACACAACTGAGTACGAAAACCAGGGTGTCCGCGGGGTCTTAAAAAGTATTAAAAGTTGATAAATCAATTTAAGGCTATTAAAAAGTATTAAAGGGCATTTTTAAAGGTATTACATTTTGTAGCTTGTTTTCAATAAGTATATAAATGGTCCAAAGAGGTTGTATTCTACAGTCTGCCTGAATGTAATCATGGCGTAGGTGTGTAGTGTGATTCTGTGTAGTTTATTGATGGCATCCCGTTGGGTTTGACGTCATCTGAACAGGACATCGCACGCTCACTGCTTGATAGCGCGAAGGTCCGTTTACGCCGGTTGTTAAACAACATCGTTATGGGGAAATGCAAGTCTGCGTCCAAAAAGTTGGAAGATAAGGAGGAAGGACAATCAATACTGTATATAGTCAATGTGAGGTAAAGTGTGTCGCCAAGGTAACCGGTTAAAACTCCAAGTGGCGATGAGGTCTTAAAATGTGTGGAAAGGGTCTTAAAAGGGATTACATTTGACTTCAATCAATCAATGTTTATTTATATAGCCCAATATCACAAATGTTACATTTGTCTCAGTGGACTTCACAGTTTGTGCAGAATATCAGTATGACAATACAACACCCTCTGTCCTTAGACCCTCACATCGTACAAGGAAACACTTCTGGAGAAAACCCACAGTTTAAAGGGAAACCTCAGAGAGAGCAACAGAGGAGGGATCCCTCTCCCAGGACGGACAGACGTGCAATAGATGCCGTGTGTAAATTGAAAAGATAATACATTTGCAACATACACTTCAGGATTCCTGCATATACTCTGATATCATACATAGATGTTATATATTATTTTATATTATCTCTGTGTACTCTTACTGTTGCTTAGGTATGCAACCTTTGACACAGTTCATCATTTTCTCTCTGCTGTCTCCTTTCCCATGGCATAGGTCTACTACGGCCTTGGGTGTTGCTGCTGTCCCTCTTAAGGAGAGGCAGCTTGGGCGCATTGTTGCCAGCTTAGGACCGAGCACAAGCTGACATGAGATAGTTTATTGTTCAGGGACATCTAGAAGCCCTTCTTTTTAGGGACGTAGGTTCCCTCGCGCACATTCTTTCCTATGGACGACAGCTCTAGTTAGATTCAGGGTCCATATTTGTTTAGTCTCACTGATGAAGAATGTTGATTATTACACTCCGAACTAGTTAAAACCTGGAGCGACAGAAGAGTTCTTCAGAATTGATTGTGGCATCTCAACCAAACCGTGGCCCGTGACATGTCTTGTGAATTCTCCGGCCGAAACTCCAGATAAACCGTCAGTGTTTGCCATCAAAGCTCCAGCTCTCCTCGTGTCTCTCTTTGAGTCCTGACTCCTATTGCTTCAGAAGTTTCCCCCACACTTACCTTCCTAGCGTGTGTTTTCTTCTCTCTTATTGCTGTCGCTGCTCTGACTCCTAAATTTCCCTATGGGGATCAAAGCATTTTTTATCTGTTCTATTGTATTTTCCACTCAAGACAATTTCTACAACTATTTTGAGGGTAAAGAAATCCAAAACTGGTCCATGCAGATGAGAACATTGTCCTTTGGTAGGAACAAAATCACTGGTGACATATAAACCAATACATTTAGATATCTACTACATAATACTCTTAACTGGTGCAACAACACCAAACTATTGTCAGATGTGAACCACTAGCAGTGAACTACCTGGCTCTCTGTCGGGCCTCAGCGATGTGTCTGGGAGTCCTGCCGGAGCTTCTCCTCCTTCATGTTTCTGGACACTAACTGGTAATGTTCAAAAGCCGGGAAGAAGGAGTGGTTGAAGAATTGATGGATCGTCTGATTCCAGATCTCCACCTCATGGTCTTGGGCTCTCACCCCTCTGGTTTGAACAACCTTTCCTCCATCTCTTTGCCCTAGAGGTAATGTATGTAAAGTCTGTATAAGTACAAACATATCAAACATTATTTCAAAGAATTAGAAACTAGGCAAACCTACCTGCAGACTCAGGTCTCTCTCTGACCTGTTGTTGACTCTCCATGTCTTGAGCATTGGATGTTTCTGCCTTGTCACTTTTCTTTGATCAGAAGTAAATGCAATTATTTGTTATTAAAGATTTCAGCAAAGTCACAGCCAGGCTCACAGCAGCACATGCCATTTCTATTAACAGTAGGGGTGCTGCAATACTGAAATTAATAGTGAATATTTGAATTGCTTTTACTTTTCACATCAAGGTGGCTCATGAATGTACAAAAAAAGTCATAACATAGTAGAGAGGCGAAGTCCCTCCCTTTCCGGGGAGCTCCATGGGACCTTATTTCGGAAAAGGTATGTATTGAAGTCAATGGGGAGAGAAAGATTATCTTTTGATCCCGTTTGAATTGTGCCACGAATTACACACATGATGTTTGTCAATTTAAAAGATAATTTTGCAAGTCAAAAAAATGTGCACTAACTAAAGTAACACTTTTTTTTTGTGTGAAACCGCTCAATGAACTACATCTCCCGTCTCGCACCAACACCAAGATGGCCGTCACGTTGGCAACTTGGCACATCTCACCTTTCTTTCAGAATGAGGCGGAAAGTATTAAAAGAGGTGAAAATCACTCCAAGTCAGTCATATTGAGAGCTGTACACACAAGGGGAGTGAGTCGGTTCCGTAAGAGCCAGCATGCGGAACCGGGACTCTGGGATTTGTAGTCTTTCTAGTTGCGTATTTTTCATAGTCTTATATTTCAACAGTTTTACGACAAACTGTGACTTTTTTGACATGGAAATTATTTGTTAAGATTGACAAACATCATATGTGTAATTCGTGGCACAATTCAAACGGGAACAAAAGATAATCTTTCTCTCTCCATTGACTTCAATACATAATTTTTCCGAAATAAGGTCCCATGGGTCGGAAGTAGATGGGCGGGACTTCGCCTCTCTATTTAAAAAAAAATCTGAAGTAAAACAACATAGTAAAGTATATCGAAGAATTCTGAAAAGCTCCACCTCAGGTAGATCGCTCCTGGCTTTGGCTTCAGCGCTGGATGGCGAAACCTGCTGACACTTCACTTCAGCAGAGCCCAGAAGTACCTCAAAAAACTCCAGGAATGTAATCTGAAAAACAAGGAGTGGGGATAAGAAAAACGATAAGGAGAGAGGGGAAGAATTAACAGTGGCAATGAGCAGAGAAATCATGAATGAGTCCACAGGTGTTCCCAGGCAGACCTCCAGATCCAGACAGGAGGACGTGTTGCTGGGGTCCTGACTCTCTGCTGTGATGATCTGCAGCAATCTGGCTGTGCTCAGGTTACTGTCCAGCAGATGGAGATCCTACCAGGGGTTTACAATAAATCAAATAAATCAACACAATGTCTTTAACAATGATGCTGGTTAAAAAAGAACGTTTTCTATTCATGTGATGTAGATTTAACTGTTGACCTGAAGCAAAATAAACATGTCTTTTGTTAAAGCTTGTAACACAAAAGATAATTGTCACCCATTCTGTTCACCTGAAGTTTCCCTCATAAAGTTAGAAAATGAAAAGTAAATAACAAGAACAGGTACATTTGTATGGTAGTTTTTGTGTTGCAGTGTGTTGCACCTTGAACATCCACAGCAGGTGTCGGCAGGTCATGGTCCAGTCCTCTCTGGGCGCTGCAATGACTCTGCAGTAATCCTGATAGACTTCCCAGCACTTCTCTAAGTAACTCACAGCCACCTCTGCACAGTCTGGGTGCCTAAACATGAAGCCTGGATCAACACAGCTAGAGTTAATAAGGACAGACATTACTGCATAATATAGAGCCAAGCAAAGGTGTTCAATCAGTTTCTGAAAGTCTTGAATTGGGAACTTGAAGACTGATAGTAACCAGATAGACAAAAAACTGTTCTAATGTTGTGATAAATCATTTTGCCTGGTGGTCCTTCTACCATCTGATACGTGTGTACATGAGCCTTCAATATGATATTGGTTTCACCTTTTACATGACTAGCATTAGGAATGATGTTGTCTGTCATCAGTTTGGAAAAGCAGTCTGCCAGAAGGTGGTTTTGTGACCTGTGAAAAGATGAAGCAGAACTGATTCTCATCTCTAAAACTCAACATTAGTTAAAGGAAAAAAAAGTTTGTATTTAAATGTGTCCTTGGGTTACTCCTTGCTGTGGTAGTTATTCGTTGTCTCTTTGTTGTAGTTTGGTCTAATTTGTGTTAGCAACTCTAACATCATTGAGCTAAGTTATAGTTAGGGTTACAAAAGGCTTACAAAACAAAGCTGTTAATGTTTAGCAGGTCAAACGTTTACCATGTTCACCAACTTAGACGAGTATGTTATAATAAATAGTTGCTAACATGATTATTTCAGAATGCTGAGAGATTTTTTTCTGAATTCAGATACTTCTAAATGTTGCAAGAGTCTCTCACATGCATTAAGTAAATGTGCTGCTGCTAAAGCTGACAGTGTTTTTAGATAAAAAGTTATTAATAAAGAAATAATTTCATCTATTGAAGACAATCTGTTAGAAGTCCTTCCTTACACCACGTCCTTATGGTAGATGTGATACGCCACAACCACTAGACAGCTGAGGGTCCTGCGCAGAAGCATGGGAGTGAAAGGAGAGTGGATCTCTGCGGATGTCTCATCGCCTGAGACACAGAGTAAAAAAAGTTAAACACAAAAAACGACTGTAATTGTAAAGGTACCAATGCTAGTCACTGTGAGATGTTACCTCTGATGAAATTGTCTATCTGTGTGAGAGTGATGCTGTGATGGTGGACGTTGCAGTCTTTGAGCAGGCGCCACAGCTGCAGGCGGGACATCAGGAAGCTGTTATCTGGGGAGGGGGCATGGCCCAGTCGGCTGTAGAAACTATAGAAGGACCTCAGCTCTCTGGCCTTCCTCAGCACCACACACTCCACCTGTTACACACGATCCACATATCAGGGTAAACCACGAGGACGTGTGGAGATGTTGAAAGTGTTGATGTGTGCAGCGGCTCCTGACCTCTTTGCGCTCGGTGTCTCGATTTCTCTCAGGGATTTTCTCCAGAAGACATTCAATGTTTAGAGCCATGTCGGGTCCTAAGATAGATGAGCCTGGGAGAAGATACAATAATGTCAGCTCTTGTAGGGGAGGATTTAAGAGTGTAACACCAATAATTATTTCCTTGATGGCATAGCACAGTACTCTGCTGTTTTACCAGGCCGAGAAGTGGGAGCTTTGTTTCCGTTCAGGTTGTTTGTCGTCATCTCATCGTGGACAAACTCTCCTTCAAAAACATGTCCGTCCTCAAAAGTGAATTTTCCCTATGAAGCATACAGTCACTGTTCAAAATATATACATTGATGTGTACCATAAGTGCCTGTGAGGGTAAAATGGATGCTAGATCACATATTTTATCTATTTTGAAAGAACTTGTAAAGCATTAAATAAAAATGTGTTTTTTGTTGTTGTTTTAAAAAAAATGTATTTCGGAGACATATCCATATATCCATATCCACTGTGAGAGGCAATTCTGTATCATGTATTTACCCTCCCATGTTTCTTATTATTCCTCCATTCTCCTTCGTAGATCGCACCCCCAGCGTAGTAAAAGGTTCCCTGCCCGTGCCTCTGACCCTGAACGAAATCTCCTGTGTACTGATTTCTCTGGGAATACTGAGACCCATCCGCTCGCCTCAGGATCCAGACATGCGTGCCATTCCCATGCTACAAACACATTAGCAGGATTACTTTTTTAGGAAGTGAAAAAAAAGGCATTGTACTGAAATGTGTGCAATGTGGATTTGTTATTGTGGTGTGCTGTCATACCTGGACTCCATTCTGCCACATCCCAACATACTGCTGTCCCAGTTTGAGCCACCTCATGGAGCCCTCTCCATGTCTCAGGTTGTTCGTCCACTCCCCAGAGTAAGTGTTACCAGAGGGGTAGCTGTAAAAACACAGATATTATCTTTTCGAAGTTTACATGCGACTGTGGTAAATATGAAACCCTGTTCTGCATACATACCATCTTGTTCCCCATCCCTCTCTGTTGTTCTTCACCCAATCTCCTTTGTACCAAGATGTCTTCTTATCCTGTTTAAAATACACCACACCCTAACAAAAAGAGAACCAATCACAGAGGAGAAATCTTAAGAGACTATATCTGATTTGAGTAAGTGGATCATACCTTTCTGTGCCTCTTGCCCTGATCCCACTGCCCGGTGTACAACACACCATTGTTTGCACATCGGTAGGTTCCAGTGCCATGTCGTATAGCATTGAGTACTTCCCCCTCATAGGAGCTGGCATCCGGCCAGGTCAAGGTGCCCAGTCCCATCAGCATGTTGCAGACAAATTCTCCCTTTTGGATTTTAAATATCGATGAAAAAAATTGATTATCCCCTGTCAAACCCCTTATTTTTATCACATTATATTGTGTGCTCCCATACTCACTTTCAATTAATTTGGTATGATCATTGCATATGAATCGCTCAAGAAATAAAAGGTCATTACAGTTATTATATATTTGTTCAACCTTACCTACCTCATATTTTAATCCACCTGCCTGTGTAAAGACACCAGGTCCATCCATAAATCCCTTGGAAAACATCCCCTTTAGTAGAAAAAAAATACTTTGTTAATTATAATAGTTGTTATATTAACTTGTGGAAATTGGAGCATAGGACATTACAATACATTTTCATAAATATAGATAAATAGACTATATAGACTAAAACTAAAAACAACAATTTTCATGTTACTCATATAAATATATTTGCAGTGGTTTTAATAGTTAACATTTTTGATGGACAACCCATGCATGTTTAACAATAGGCCGAAGCATACATTGACTGTGCTGTAACAGTATTACTTGCACTGCTTTTGCTTTAATATACTTTAGGAAGCTTTGTTTACCAAATGTAATTGATTATTTGCACTGTCCCTTTCTCTGAAATACACTGAATTGAAAATGAATAAATGTGATGTCCTTTGAAACAGTACCTTGTACACGTGGCCTCCTTCAAAACAGGCAACCCCTTCTCCATGAAACTGGCCTTCACAGGTTTCCCCTTCATATCTGTCAATAACAACATGCTAGAAATGAATTCCTACCTGGATTTAGACAACAAATGATAAGCGCAATACGTGCACTAAATAGTAATAATGTAATGACTGGTATAAGAGATGATTTACCCGTGTACAGTTAAGTTAAAAAAGGTGGGAAGTTCATCCAAATCATTATCTTGGAGGTCCACATCCGCTGAATTCACGGTTAAAACAGGAGGACAGCTCACTACTTTCCTTATATGTGTCTCTTCCGCTGTATGAGGTAGGTCTGAGTTTCCGCACGTTTTCTCCGTTTTGTTTTTTAACGTAGGTTTAGTTGTATTTTCTTTCCCTTGTTTCATTTTGCGCTGTGTATTTACCTGTCTGTCGCGAAAGCTAGGATCCTCACCATGGCAACGGCAACGAACGCTCACAACTACGGAAACCGATTTCAGTCAAAAAGGCAAAATCTGGTACAACCGGCAATTAAACAAAGCAAATTACATAAGTAGATGTGGAAGAAGTACTTAAATATTGTACTTGAGTAAAAGTAGAAGTACCAGAGTATAAGAATACTCTCTTACAAGTAAGGGGTAGAAGTTCAGAAAAGCAAAACATTTCGATACTCAAATAAATTATAATAAATGAAGTATAATATCCCTCAAAATGGTACTTAAGTACGGTACATCTACTTAGTTACTTTACACCACTGAACATAAGAGACATATCTTGTTTATTTACCCCATGAATTGGGTGTTAATACAAATAAAATCAGAACACAACAGGTATAAAAAAAACTAAACACTAAACAGCAAAAAGGTTAACCATACAAGAATACAGTATCTATGGTTTGCACTTGTGTGAATAGGTGCAGGGGTGATGTTTAACATAAATGATCTGTATCTAGTTATTTTAAGTCACTGTTGATTCCTGGACAGTCTTGGTCAGTCTTGTGAGATCATGTCCAGGTTGGCGAGGTGTCTCATGGTGGGCCTGCCGTGAGGACAGTTCCAGGGTTGCTCGATCTCCCCCATGTGAACCAGGAGCTTCTTCATCTCACTGACACTCAGAGCAGTGCCGATCATCACCTGAATATAGACACAAACAAAACAATAGACAATGGGTCAGGAAAATAAAACTGTTATTCAATTATCAGAACTGACTAACAAGTCGTATTCTAGATAGATGTATAGGTTTTATACTATTAGATTTTTCATGCACCATTTTCTGTATATCAAACACCTTGGAGATGTTCAAAAGTTTCTAGAAATATGTACACTTTATGGGTGTTGTGATATTGACATTTTAAAAATGAACTATTTATATCATGTTAATAATACATAGGATAATGTGTAAGTAATCCAGCGCCTCTGAAAAATTATTTCCGTTTTAGTTTCTTTATCACTTTTTAATAGTACAAGGAATGGCTACTGGAAACAGAAAAAAGGCAAAAACATGTTATCCTTTCTAAAGTGATAGGAAGAAAAAGTTGGTTGTAAGGGATGACTGTTGACCCTAATCCAAAACCAAAACCTGGTTTGTGTAAATATCTGTAAATACTTAAAAATATCTGTTTATTATTAGTATGAACATACAGATTTCCGACAAGCTCGGGAGGCAAACATCTGCCTGACGCGGGACGGTCGACACATAACCCCCGGGCTGTCACTCAGCATGAAGATCAGCTCTTCAATGTCGGGGGGGCCAAAAGTCCAGTTTTTACTGGTGGGCAGAGATACCAGCTTTACCCTCTCCATGACCTGAGCTGCACACACAATAGAAACATGCTGGTTTAGTATTTGTAATGATACTTAATAGTTGTGAACCTGAGATAAATGTGTAAACCCTTTTATTTGAAGGTAAATGTTCTTACCTTCCTCATCCACAAAAAACTCAAAGCCATTCTTCCTGAAAATCTCTATGTTCTCCATGAGCACATTTTCACTGATAGCAGTTAGGTGAAGCTTCTGAGGTCTGCAAACATAAATGAAACACAAATATAGATTAGTAAAAACTTGATTTAAAAAAACAACACAAGGCAGAAGTCATCAATAGAGTAAGATTCTTACACTATGAGTTTCTGTCCTTGGAGAACATTGTGTTGCTGCAGCATCTCAAAGTTGTATTTCTCATCTGATGCATGCTGGTCAATCATGAAGATGTCCGAGTTCAGCTTGGCGATAATGAAGCCCAGGTTGAACTGGCCGATGATCTCCATTTCCTTAAACATGTCTTTACTGAAGAGAGGAAAGAAAAAGTGTCAAGTTGAAGCAATCACGCTTTAATATTGGAAATCTGCAAAACCTATTGGAGTAAAATCCCACCTGATCTCTTTCTTCAGCTCTTCCTCTGCACTGTTGTTTTCTCCGGGGTTGATCTTGGCCCTGAAGCGTCGATAGAGCAGCTCATCATCATCCTTCTGTCTCTGCAGATCCTGTATCCTCTTCACCTTCCCTGCCAGATCTTGTAAAGAAAACTGGAGGTTCACCGTCCTCTTCTGTAGGCGCACTGGAGCATCCACCGTCGAGGAAGATTTCGAAGAAGTGTTGGATTCATGTTTTGTTGGTGAATGTGGTTTCTCTTTCCTGGCTCTCTTAGCATTGGGGCTCACAGGACAGTCCTCATTGGAAGTGTGTGGCTCAGGAACAGTTTGAGTATTATCTGACTCTTCTTCTTCTTTAACACAGTCAGTGTCTGGCTCCGAAGATCTGAACTCCAGTCCAGAAACCTCAATATCTGGTGATGGCACAGTGACAGCGCTGTCTTTTTTAGCATTGGCGTTACTGCATGACGTTTTTCCGTACCTGAACCCATCGAGCACTGACTTTCCCACAGGAGAGTATTCAGCTAAATCTCTTGTGGCTTTCAAAGGAGATCTTACACTGGAGTTGCACGGAGGAGATTTGACGGTGTCCTTGAAAAACGTCTGCAGTGTTTTTTGTGTCGGGCCACTGTTGGCTGCTTTTGCCACGCTTGAGTTGTGACCACTTGAAAAAGCAGCTTTTAGAGCGGCTAAGTTTACAGATGACTTTGGGCAGCGTGTCACATGATCCTTTTTTTCTGCAGATTGTTGCATTTTCCCATTAGAGTTGACAACCTGACTGATTCCAGACGCAGACTTTGTATCTAGAAACAGAAACGCAGTCAATAAAAGCACTGGAAAATCTCTCGTTGCGACACAACTTAACTATTATATCAATATTATGTTTTATTATGCAGGCTAAATGTGTGTTCTTACTCATGCTTGGTTTCAGCGTGTAGTTCAGGCTGATCTTATTGACTCCCGACTCATACATGTTGATGAGAGAGGTCTTGAGAATAGCCAGCAAGAGTTTCTCCTCCTGAAGGAAAATCTGTCGTTTGTCTGGGGTTACGTTCACGTCCACACACTCTGAAATAAAACCACAAAAACAAATTTAGAACAGATAGTAGCCAGTGGGATTCAGATATAACTATTCAGCTGACCAACCTGAGGCAACAGCTATGTTCAGGGCAACAAAGGGATATTGATGTCTGTTGTACATGTGATACACTTCATTTACAAGTTTGGTCACCTGCAAGAAAAACAAAAGGTTATAGGTGAGGCTAAAATGCACATTTGTAGTAACAAAAAGTATATCATTATTGGAAAAGTTATACTTTTCTGACAAATATTGTACATCAATAAACATTTAAATGGCCTAATATCTGCTCACAACTATATTATGATATGTTCGAAACTAGGGATGCACTATCAGCCAATACAGATAACAGACTTGCTTGCTTCTCGTAGATGTTACAGCAAAGAATAAGATAGCTAATAATTAAACATTTGTTATCTAAAAATAAGTTAGTAACCTTTATGCAAATTGCAATCATGTTTTACTTCTCTGAAACGGTCTACACTATCAGCTCTTTAGTCATTATAAAAATAATACATAATAATATAATTTTAGGACCTGAAATATATAATGTGCATCACCATTTTAATTCATTATGGCATATTTGAATACTGCTTATAAATGCTAAATAGGGGGACTTAAACTTGAATTACCTTAACAGGATCACACGGCCGGTTGTTAACATAAAAGAACTGCCTGTCTGTTGAACTCCTCCCAGCACCATGGTCTGCTCGGGTCACAAACCCTGTCATGCTGCCAAAACAAAGTATAACAGAAAGATACATAAACTACTTTGTTTGCAGATAAGGCATGCACAGGACTTGCATGCAATGGTATCACTCACGTAAACAGCTGTTTGGGTAGATCTGCAACAGTCAGTCCATATTCTTCAATCACATTTTCTGCTGGAGACACTTGCTGAAAAGGCAGAATACTCTGTAGCTACACACAGGGAAACATGAAACGATTTAGCAAAACAAATAAGGCCAATTCCACAAAACTATACTTCAATTGCACAGCTCCACAAAAAGCTGGAAAGATATGTTAATTATCTTGATTTAGGGCAGTGTTCGCACCTGTTTTGGTCCGAATATGGCCCCTATGTTGTCTCTCATGCTCTGGGAGCCACTGGTGCTGAGGACGGTGCTGCGCTTCGCCTGCCCGTTCTGGTTGGAGCAGGTGATCCGCACTCCTGTAGAGATGATACAGTAGGACTGCAGGATGTGTATCATTTTGGCATACTCCTGAAAATACAAAACAAGGACATATTGGTGATATAGATAATGACAATGGGAATTGAATCACCTGATGATAGCTCAAAACAAATAAAGTTAAAGACATATAAGAAAAATAAGAAAATTATGATTCCATGTTGTATTATGTTCTCTCCGGGTTTCAGTTTTTACAGTGTTACATTTCTGACAACCATTTTCATTCTTTAAATTATTTTGTATCCACCTGTTCTCTATTTAGGTCCATGTTTGTTGTGGATTCCATGCCATGTTTCCCAAGGACTAGAAACTTGTTTTAAAGCCACGCACTGTGTAGTGTTTCTATTGTATTAGAAATGTGGTATAATCATTTAAAAAGTATGAATTGCAATTCAAATAGTCTTCAAGGTGGTGCTGGTAAGATGCTCCAGGGCTTGCTGATGTCTTTTACATTTACAGTCACAAAGTACAGAGCTGCATGTACCACCTTTATTATCCTTGTCAAATAACCTTTAAGAAAGATGCTGGAAATGTTAACCAGATGACTTTCCACCAAATAAGGAATGCACTTTTTCAGTTATTGATTAAACAGAATTGTATTTTGTTACTGTTATTACATGTCACTTGTTAGTCGCTTTTATCCAAAGCGACTTACATACTCAATACAGTGGACAATCCCCACAGGAGCAATTTGGGGTGAAGTGTCTCAGGGACACAACGACATGCTGACTGCAGTGGGACTCGAACCTGTACTGATCCGAACACCGACGCACACCCACTGCGTCACACGTTTCCGTAACCCTGTTATAGATAACTTATCCCAATATAAAGTAATTGCAAAATAATTGTATATAACATTTATGGAAAACAACAGCTGCCTATGATGTAGGGACAACTGTTGCTTAGACAAATGACAAGGACTTTCATAAAATGAATGTGATTTGTAGTGACATAGTAGATATAAAGATGCAGACATATAAGGCCTCTCTTCTGATGACTGACCTTCTTAATGTTGCGTTGGAACTCCTTGTAGCGAACAGGCAGGGTGTTGAAGAGCTGCTGCAGGCTGACGGTGGTGCCTTGCTGTCGGGGTTGAGGGGACTGCTGCACCAGGTGGCCTTTGTGGTCAAACACCAGCTTGGTGCCCACCTGAGTGGATTCATGGCACGTCACCACACTCAGGCCGCTAGAGCAGGGGGTCGGAGGAAAGTTTATATGATGGAGAGATGGTGAAACGGGTGTATGTGCCGAATGAATGTTGCAGTGTTACCTCAGAGCACATAAAGAGCTGAGGGCTTCACCTCTGAAGCCAAATGTTTCCACATGGATGAGATCGGAGAAATCCCTCAGCTTAGACGTGTGATGTTTTAATGCTGCGGAACAGATGGGAGAGGTTGCACTTGAGCAAACATAGGCTTTGACTCACAGGGTGGAGATAAACAAAGCTGACACTTACTCAGTCCTTCAAAGTTTGCCTCATCTACTCCTTTGCCATTGTCTGACACTTCCACTAGTTCAGCTCCACACTCCTTCAGCCTGACATCTAGAACATGCAATGGAGATTGGATTGATTTTTTGTTTATATTTTTGCTAAATATATGTGATACCTTGTCATTTTGACAAAGAACCATTAACTTGTCAGTATTAACAACATTAGCTCTCTTAAACAGCACAACAAAAAGGACCACCCCAGAATTGTGTCAGCTTTTTAAGAAAAGACATGTAAAAGAATGTGCATCAATTCTTACCAACATTGGTGGCCCCTGCATCGATGCTGTTTTCCACCAGCTCTTTGACAGCAGTGGCCAAAGTCAGAACCACCTGTCCTGAGCAGATCTGATGCACTGACTGCTTGTCAATGGCCTTGATGGCTCCTGCAGGTTCAGAGGTGCTGAGAAGAAAACAATCACACAGTGACAATGATGTAACTAAATGCATACTGCAGTAACTGATGCATGTTCAAAAAAAGACAATCAAGCATGTTAAAAGCTGCTTAGCCCATGTGTTCTGTTATCTCTGGTGAATACATTGGGAATGTGGGACTTTCAAGTGAACTTACTATAAAATATACAGTTTAACTGCATTGTAGACTAGTTCTACAGTTTGCTGCAATGCCGAATTGTGCAGTATATGCGTTTTATTCATGCATATGCATTTATTTGCCCATTTGTTTTATTACATGTAAATAGACACACAAATAGAAATAAATTGACAGATTTTTCAGTGAAGTTTGGTACAGGTTCAAGTAAACCTACATGAAAACGGAACGGCTGTGCCTACATTGTAACAAGAGCCTTAAATTGATATTTGCACGATGTAAATACATATCTGCAGCATAAAGTAAAACAATTATTTGGTAGCTAACTTACCAAGCATCAGACATCTTCAAGGACTGACAGGCACCAGGAGGAACTCATTCAATTCAAATGAAATATGACTTCAACTGAAACAGAGAAGGAAGAGAACCCAACTAAAATCCATGCAAATAAAAGGAGTTTGTTTTGCATGATCTTTTAGTGATAAACCTGTAAGTGCAACCGCTTCAAATGTTGTAAACACAAAAAGTTGTATCGCGCGCACTGCGCAGACTGTCTCGCGAGCTTTAGCCGTGCGCAAAACAGCGCAGGGTGAATTTTAAAAGTAATATAACATGTTGAGTGTGCAAAACATTAAACTCTCATAACGAACACAAATTATAGTAGTAAAAACGGTGTAAAAAATGATATCGCTGCATATAAATAAGTTATTCAAACCATTGCCTCAGACTTTTTAGCATTTCATCATCAAATCTACCGGAATCTGACCAATGTTAGGGAGCCTGTACATTTACCTCATATAGTAAAAAACGAACACATTTATTTTTGTTGCAGGGTCCTCTTCCCCAGTTTGAAGCCGAATTATTCATATTATATTTTAAGAAATACAAAAAACAAGTATGTGATTTAATTTTGGGGCTAACTTTGTAATATTAGTTATTATTGTTATACCTAAATCACGTACATTGTCAGATGGTCCCTTAGTGGCTGTTGAATCATGGCCGTCTATGGACATGAAGACCGTTTGGGAAATCTTTTACTGTATTTTATGTAACATTCAGACGATTTAAACACGGAATTAATCAAGTATTTTAACGTCGCCTACTGTAGATATAAAGTAGTTGAATTAACTTGAAGCAGCGTTTTAAAATTAGTACTTTATTTTGACAGGTCACCATTTTTTTGACACACAATAATGTACAGTTCGTCATTCGAAGGACTCCTGAGGTCTGAGGATTGTTCTGGAAGAAGCAGTAACTCCTGGATCCTGCAGAGACATGAGGTGGACAGCAACGTTAGTCTGTTAAATCTGGCAAGCGAGGAGGACGATGAAGTCCAGTTTGACAGTAAGCAGCGTTTCCTCCTGTTACTTAATGTGTCCTATGTTATGCAATGTTTACTGATCCTTGATGGCTTGGCATGGTCAACCCACATTACCTGACACAATGACACCAGGATAACATGTCAAATTCTGAGTAGTGTACAAGTTAGTTTTAAAGAGCATACAGGGGCGTATTTATAGTATTAAAGGGCACGTGATTACAATGACTATGAGCCCCCTTCTCTTATTCATGATATATTTTTGAATGATTTAACCATTGACGATATCATAACATATTTACAATTAAATAAATAAATAATTATCATTAGTGTGTAATTAATGATTAAGCATGTAAAGGCAAATAATACAACAGCTAGAACAGTGTGAGATTTATCAAAAGGTACATTATTATATCGTAATGCAACCTTTAATAACAGGACAATACAACCTTTAATTTCAAAATAAAATGTAAGATCTAGTGTCATATGATTAAAAACCACCAAATTGGTAAAAGTATTGGACAACAAATATATATAATAATGTATGAAAAGCCTTAAACCAAAGTATGGTTATATCCTAGTCTTTAAAAAACGAAAAAATAGCCACAGAAGACTTAATACAGCTATTTTCATACACTACAAAACATATGAATTGACCTTTTTGTAAAAATGTGGCCGAATGCCCCTTTACCCATAAACTTATACAAACTCGCATTTGTCAAATACATTTGCATGGGTCTAGTGCATGGGCGTAGGAAGCATCCTGAATGTGGGGGGGACATTTTTAACGGGGGGGTGTGGGGGTCCCCCACCACGAAAAAAAATTGATTTCCTGTATTCTGGTGCATTTGGTTGATACTTTTATGTGGCTATACTAGCATGAGGAAAATGATGGGTACATTTTGTAATTTCATCCAGTAGTAAAGAAAGGAAACATATTTGATTATTAATTCAGAGCCGTCTTTGAATTAATAAAAAGCAGTTTAAATGCCCATTTTTTGTACATTTATATACAACAATAAATATTTATGAGTGCATTGAGAGATATTGTTGTGGAGAGTCATTTATATATAAATCGCAAAATACATTTGTGAATCCTTCTGTGAGCATTTATTAATGTTGAGACTGATCTGATTCCATACAGATGTTAAGTTCACCTAGGAATGGTATCATTGACTTAAATGTTCAAATAAATGTTGCTCTTCCGTCTATATTGGTCATATGATGCCCCTTGACTGAAATGCTTCCTGTTCAATATCCCCACTGATTTCCTTAAAATTCTGGGATGAGAGTCCACATCACAATAATTGACTCTAAACTGTCATTTCCCTTTCATCACTCACCTCAGCAACAGACCTCTCTCCACTGTCCCTGTGTTCTGCCTCTGACTCACTCTCAAGCGCCTAGATGTCAAGAGAGGTGGTGAAGTGATAATTATTTATTGAGCAGTATACTCTTTCACATTGAATCATAACAAGTCATACTGAATATAAATACAACTGACTCTAAAGTAAGTCCCAGTCTGTGATATTGGACATTTTGAAGACTCAAAGTCCCAAGCAGTAGGTAGAATATTAGCTAGTCTATGTAATGTGCACAGAAAATAAATAGTTAACTGAATACTGGGATGGAAATTGCCTAAGCACTCAGTAAAACATAAACACACACAAAAAGCTTCTGAATGATAAGAAGTATAATTAAAACATAATGCACATTACCATTTTGAGAGAGAGTACCTAAATTAAAGAACTCAGAAAATAATCTCTTATCGAACTGAGGCTCCAGTAAAACACACTGACTGCGACTCTACATGGACATCATGGTGTTTACATGAGCACAGAGAGATCGGTTATTCATGTTCCCTGTTTACATGATAAATACTAGTAACCTGGAATTTCGATTCTTTTTCTCATCTAAACTATTCAGTATTTGTATCTCTCTATCATGACATAAAGACGAAAACTCCTCTCCAGAAGTGAGACGCTTTTGCCGCCGCCGCCATCACTGCTAACTGATTAACTGCTGCCAGCTGAAGACTTACTTTCCTCTTCTTTGAAAAAAAATGTCTCTGTCTCGTTGTCTGGGGGAGAAAACATATCAAACCAAGAGATCGTCAGCTTTGATTTTCGCTGTATTAACCATTTCCTGAACACTTGGTGTGTGTGCCTTACCTCCGCTACCGGCATCGCTTCATACAACAGATCTGAGCTGTCCAACTATGGTACAGAGTTTAATTGATTTGGGCATTCTTTCAATAAGCAAGTGGAATGGATTTGATAGTGAAGCACTGACACAGCGCTCTACAAAGTGCGGTGAGTGGTTAGACCGATTCACGGACTTTCCACTTGGTAAAAGTGGGGGGGTCTAAACTAATAATTTCAAAAAGTGGGGGGGACTTGTCCCACCCTCATATAATGGCTGCGACGCCCATGGTCTAGTGACACTGTTAGGATGTAAGATCAAGACGAATTTGAGTTAAACAAGTAGTTCCTGCTTCAGAACAAGTCAGGACTTGCCCCTCCACACCTAGGGCAGTCTGCTGAAGTGAGAATAATGAAAGTGTCAGTTCCAAAGGACCCCTCCTCCTCATTCTGGCACGGTGACCAAGTGTCTCAGCTTCGTCATGTGTTGACAGTCAGTGTGTGAGTACAGTAGGTGGAGGAAGCTAATGCCTGGACCACACAGATAAGCAGTACTGCCGTGCACACCCCCCTTATGTATACACAAGATCAGCTCATTTCATGCCTTGGAAGTGAACAGGATAATCACGAGTACATCTTTAAGGGCTTAATATTGGAGTTTTCATACAGAAAAAATGGACCTAGAAGACAGAGACCTTGTTGAAATGATAGCTAAATTTATCGAAGAAGGTAAGACTACCGAGAAAAAACATTGCGGGTATAGAAGTATTTGATTCTAGTGTGACTTCAAAAAGTTGTTTTGTGCCACAAAAAAAGAACTGAATGCTCCAAACACAGCAAATGATTCTTCCTCTTTCCTCTTCGCCTGTCGCATCATCTTTTGTTTTTTATGCTCAGCTTCCGACACAGACAATAACCGAGAGGTCTTGATGGCTGGAAGACATTACCCGTCGGTCCAAGAGTTTGCCTCTGCGATCCCCAACCACCTCCTGCTGGGCTCTCTCCTGGAGCACCTGTGCTTCGTCTATGAGACTAACCCAGCGCGCTCACGTACGCTGTTTAAAGGTATGTACTGACATGTTGTACTGGAGTAAACATGCTTATATTATACACGTTTGAATGTATTTACTTGTTTCAAATTAAATTCGTCTTTAGGTTGACTTACAAAATCTGTCCGGGGACTACAGATGAAAAAAAAGCCTCTTGGCTAACTCTGGCACATTTACAGAAATGTTGATTAATGTGCACTGTCCCTGTTGAATAAATGAGTAAATAAAATAAGTGTTGCTCCGGATGGCATGGCCAACGGTGTATGAATGTGTGTGAATGTTAGATTCCTTAAGCAAAAATGGCACATTGCTCTGTATGTTGAGGTGTGATTGGTGAAAGATGACTTGCTCTGAGGGGTCGTAAAGACTGGATATATAAGTGCAGTGCATTTAACATTTAAACAGTGTGTTTAAAATACATGTTTACCATCCTGTCACTTCATCAGGCTGTGTGACGGATCTTCAGATTTTTGTTAATATTCCTAATGATGTCATTTCTTTGTTTCCTCTCACAGTTATAGGCCAGCGTTTAGCTGCCCTGAACCTCCTCTCACCTTTAGCCATCAGTGATGAGTTCAGCACCGTCAGACTGCAGCACAACCGGGCCTTCACCGAGCTGCTGCACGCTGCCAGCTCCTCGCTGTATCCTCAGGTAACTGGACACATCCATAGGGATATTATAGTATGTTGTCACTCTGTAATAATGTTGGACTTTACAGTTACCTAGAGTCGTTATTTGTACTTGGTAGGAAATTGTCCATTAACTCAAAACCAAGTGGATGAATATTTAAGAAAATAGAGAACAAACGACTCAGAAATACACTTGTAATTTAAATATTTAGTGTAGAAAATCATTAGCTACATGTTGATACTATTTAGAAATAGGGTTCTTTGACTGTCAGAACACTAGGACATGATATAGTAAAAGAAAAGGACTGTCTCTTCTATATTATCCTACAGCATATGAACCACACAAAACGTTCTGCTATCACACTTTTTCCAACAAATGTACATCCCATAACGTTGCATACTGCTTTGTATTGATACATAGTGAAGGAATAGGGATAATGTTATAGATGTTCTTGCAGTGTTCATTCTCATCATTATCCTCAGTGTGGTTACTCTTTTTATGTCTTTCTGCAGGGCCAACAAGGTCTCGGGTCAAACACGCACAATCCTGCTGTAAGGTAAGTTGTACTTGTAGTAGTCTTGAATTTTGAGTTGCAAGATTAAAAAGTATTGCATAAGATATTTTCCTTTTCCTTTCCCACAGACCTAAGGAGGGACTGTTCCAAGCGCAGACATCCCGGTATCTTAGTGAATTTGAAGAAATGCTTCGGCTCGGAAAGGGATCATATGGAAATGTTTTTAAGGTATTCCACTTTATTCTAATCCATACTACTTGTATCCCATCCCTTTGAAGCAGAACATGACTTGATACAATGCTTTCTTTGATTTAATCTTGTAGGTTATGAACAAACTGGATGGACAATATTATGCTGTGAAGAAAATCCTCATCAAAAAAGTCTCAAAGGATGACTGCATGAAGGTGGGCCATCAGTGTCTTATCAGTCAAGCCATTTTACTCCCAGTTATATCATAGAGTAATCATTTGGTTATTTGTTGTTGGCTCTAGGTCCTCAGAGAAGTCAAGATGTTGTCCAGCCTGCTGCATGTGAATGTTGTCGGCTATCACACTGCGTGGATGGAACATGTGCAGCCCGCAGCATGTGAGTATTTACTGCTGTCCTGTTTGTCTGAGAGTTAATATTCACTGAGTAAAGAATTACAGTTCTTATCATAACAGAAGCTTTATCGTAACAAACATTTCTGTTGCAGATCCTGCGTCCCTGCTGCCTGCACTGGAGTCACCTGAACAAAACGACAGGTCTAAAATATTAACTGATCTTACATGAATTACCATTTCCTGTCATTTTTTAAGCCTGATGGAATAAATAATCAGACCGATGATAAATTGTTGCCTTAAAACATCAATTAGGTTTATTGATGAGTTTGTGCTATTTTAATTTGCAGTTTTAACTTGCATTGACAGTACTCGGACGGATATTATAGTACTAGTTCATGAGACCTTGTTTATACTGCTCGAGTTATTTTATTTAAAAATACTAACTTAACAAGTTGTTAGAAATTTATTTACAAACAATAATTTTAGGGGTGAATTATTCCTTTAAAAAACGTTTTGATTATTCCTTTAAAGAAATAGCATGAAATACCCTTATTGGCAGAAATGACCTTGGCAGGCGATATTTTGAATGAACAACTAAATCCAAAGAAAAAACACTATTTTTCTCAGGTCATGGAGATCCTTTATCATCTTTTATTTGGTCCAATAACACTAAATCTATCTTTGCTCTTTCCTGCACAGCTCTGATCAGAGTTCTTACAGCAGCAGCGTTTCCTCATCAATCATTTTCCAGAGCCGGAGTCAAGCATCTACAGACTCAGATGCCAAAGAACCGCCAAGAGAGACCAATCCCTTCACAGCGTTAGTCGCGACACCAGAGACAGGTCAGGTGGTTTGTCCCAAGACGATGCGGCGGGTTCCCAATAACTACGTCCCCTGTGTGTTCCTGGGACAGCGAGCAACCCCGAAGAGCTCCAAATGTCCCGCCATGAGCAGCTCGGCTCTGTTGGAGGACGGGTCCAGCAGGAGCAGCATCGAGCTGAACGACAACTCCTGCTACGACCAGGAGTTCCAGCAGTGGGCCGACCTGTGCACCACCAAGCCTCCTAAAGAGGTCTGTGCTTTATGAGGCTTATAGCTATCAGAGATATGATAATCAGAAAGGATTTTGTTGTCCCTCAGTGGGGAAACTCAGCAGCAATGTACATCGTCATCATTAGCTTAATTGAAGAGACTCAAGGTCCATTTTTTAAAAGACATACAACACTCAAATATAAATAAAAAAAGGCAGTTACCAATGTTTCCACAGAGGTGACTGGTGTCACACAGTTCAGATAAAAAAATGCAAAAGGAAGAAGAATGGACTGCAAATTAAATAAAGAAATAGGCACACATTATTAAGAATATAAACAATAAGTACACCATGGTGACAAATAAAGTAGCATTATGTTAACAAGTAAGTGAGCATATAAAGTAGGGCTGCACGATATTGGAAAAAACGGACCTGCGATATGAAAAAATACAGGAATTGAAGAAAAGACCGCAAACCATCCTTTCTTGAACTTTAATGATACAATTGGTATTTTTCTAACTATATTTAACCGGATGAAGGATTTTAGTCACGGACGTCTGGATCTTAAGTTATCAGAGCAACAAGCTGAGCTAGCTCGGTTAGCAGCGCCGAACTGCCCTGGAGAAACACATGAAACTACTTTATTCAACGGGGTCCGTTTGCTTTGGAGATTTGATTGTGATTGGTGGTTTGCTGTGCTCACTGAAGTACCCCTGACATGAGAGCCGCGCGAGTTTTCCTTTTGTAGCAAGCAGCAAAATAATTGTAACATGACGTGTTTGAGTTAATTTGTCTACTTAATATTGCACGTCCTAAAAAATATAATAACACGATATATCGTGCAGCCCTAATATAAAGGTATTTAAAGAGTCGTTAACGAATATATTGTAAAAAAGTGAAGTGTATATTGCACATTAGTAGTGGGGTGAAGCTACCTGTCACTGAAGGAGCTGCAAAGGTTGGAAGGATAAGAAAATGCAATTATTGTAGTAAAAAATATTAATTTTTTTCTTCATCCTTTAGAAAAAAAAACTGAAAAGCGATGTTAAGTTTTTCTGTAATATTTATGTCTGCAGGTCCAGTTCCACCTGATGCTCTACATCCAGATGCAGCTGTGTGAGCGCTCTCTGAAGGACTGGATCTCCGAGAGGAACACCAAGCCCAAAGAAGAACAAACCTCAAGATGTAAACACATATTGTACATAGAGAAATGGTGTCATTATACATTACAGATTATTACAAATACAATAAATCGCTCTTTGTATTTCCAGGTCCTTATGGATGTGTTGACACAGAACACACACTCAGCCTGTTGAGGAAGATACTTGAAGGAGTGGAGTACATTCACTCCAGAGGAATCATGCACAGAGACCTGAAGGTAAGGTGCTTTGATAGATTTTATTTCAGCATATGTTTGAGGTATATCTGTGGCAGTAATTTGCACAGGTGTCAACTTGAAGCAATGTGTAACAAGTCATTAAAAGAGTCCTGGTCGCCGTCTGTCACAAAGGAAATGTGTAAATCCTCCCAGTAGTTGAAAACAAAGTCATATAGTTTCTCTGGCAGGATTTTCCCCAACTCTTCTCTCGTGCCTTGGACATGTTTTAGATAAATGTCCCTCTTGCAAATGTCTTGAAGACTCCTTGGCTGCTGAGTGAGTTTTAGCAGCTGGTCTCTTTGTTTGAAGAAGCATGGTAGCGTCAAGGTGAGGGGAAGGCTGTTGTTGTGGTTGTAGACAGTGAGCGGGGAGGTCAGGCTGAGGAGTTTAATGAGTAGAGAGTTCTTCCTTACATTCGGCCTGTGGTTCAGGAACAGGAACAGACAGCTCTCCCCGGCTCCGCTCAGCTGGTTGATGTTAGCTCCGTACCTGAGCAGCAGCTCCACCAGCTCTGTGTTTCCCATGCTGCACGCCTCGTGCAATGGTGTCATCCCAGCGTTGTTCACCGCGTTGACCTCGGCCCCCCGCTCCAGCAGCTCAGAGATGCAGCTGGTGTCGTCCTGCTGGGTTTTAAAGGCTTTCAGAGCCATCGCTACAACAGCCAGGTGCAGAGGAGTGTTCCCAGAGGGCTTCAGCCCCTGAAAGTAGTCAATTTGATGTAGGAGCAAAAGTGGAATAAGTACTCAAGTAACTCAAGATCTTAAGTACAATCTCCCATTCCATACGCATTTTTTTATTTTGGTTTTAGTTACTTTTCAGATGACAGTTTTCCCGCCCAGTTAAAAACCATGTATTTCCAGATAAGTTATGATTAACTGAAGAATGAAGTGATGCTTTATGTGTAGAGAAAAGTATTATACTTCACAATCTAAATACATTGTTTCTGGGATGAGATGGAAAATGCAGCAAAAGCTGAAAACCGGGATGTTTTTTTAAGAAGAGAGATATTTGGTTCTCCCAGGACTACGACAAAACAACAAACACATGATGATCTAAAGTAGATGATAGAACATGATGCATTGCTACTGAATAAACTACCGAACAGTATATAAAGAAGTTAACATTAGCAAAACCTTTCATATCAACAGCAGTAAAATGTCAAATGAATGCAGCATTTATTTAAAAAATCGTATATACGCACCATGCTCAAATCTGCTCCCTCCTTGATCAAGCTGACCATAATGTCCTTATGGAGGACCCCAGCAGCCATATGTAGGGCCGTCATCCCACTGCTGTCCACAGCGTTCACATCCGCTCCACAGCAGGACAGGATGTGGACCGCAGACAGAGCCGTGTAGCGGACAGACAGGTGGAGAGCTGTCTGCTGACTCCCCTCCACCTACAGGGAGCCACAAGAGACACAGCGTGGGCAGCACATTTTAAAGAAAGCTTAGACCAGTATAATAATATAACATATAATGGATTCAGTTCCCTATCAGAAAGGTCTGTCAGACAGCATGGTTAAGGCAAGGTGTGTAGGACCCAAATGCAGTAACCCGTTGGTTGAATCAAACTCCTTCAACACTTTTCAAAATAAAACAGGAAACCAGAGACAGATGTTTACGGGACAAAATAAAACGGGGAAAACTAATATGGATCGTAACACATTCACTTGAACTGATATTTAATTATATAATTGGTCCCGTCCACAGCAGTACATTTATTTTTCCTCCATGCCTGTCGTCTTGCCTGTTTTTCCAAACTAGACGGCATCCTCCACTCATTCCATTGCAATGTAATGTAAATACTGTTATATTATATTTTACTATATTTTTTATTATTTTTTATATTTTTCTAATTCTCTATCTGTGTTTTGTATTCTTGTTTTTATGCACCATGACACCAAGTCAAATTCCTCGTACGTGTACACCTACCTGGTAATAAACCTGTTTCTGATTCTGATCTAGTGCAGGTACTACAATAACTATTGAAAGGTACCTACCCAACTTCAAAACTTCCATTATATCCCTTTAGATTTCTACAAAAAGATGTAGAACATTGATCTGTTTTGTGAACATGTATCACCTCTGCATTGAGGTTAACCCCGTGTTCACAGAGGAGCCGCAGACAGGCTTCTGCCCTTCTCCTCTCTCCGCTCACAGCCGCCTGGAACCTGGAGCCTGGTTTTGGGCTGATGCTCGGCCAACTGGCGATCACTAAATGCAGAGTAGTCCGACCGAGCTGGTCCCTGCAGAGGAAGAGAGAGTAAAGCTGGTGCTTTTTTAAATAACAATATAAGGAACCAGTGACATGGGTGTCTTTGATAGGTGTCAATCATCTGTAACAGGAAGTCGCAAAAAATGAAACTCCAGTTAAGTTATGATTTATTATAAGAGGCAACCTAATGTTACTCTTTAGTGTATGTGGGTGTGTTGTTTTGTGTTAGTGTGTAGGGGCTGGGCAGTATATCAATATTATATCAATATCAATATATCGGGGTATGAGACTAGCATTTTAGATTTCTGGTATCATAATGTCCCAATAGTGTTTTAAACTAAGCATGCAAAGCGTCATAACACTAAAGTGATATCCTTTTCTGAACCGACCAGACTATTCGAGGATATAACTCATGATCATTTATCAAAAATGTCACAGTTTAAACATTTTGTGAAAGAACCAGTCCTATAATACTTGAAGTACTTGGCTAGCTGTGTGTTTGTGCAGACCTTATTTCAGGGTCTTCTCCTGCTGTCAGCAGGCTCTGCAGGCTCGCTGCTCTCCTGTAAGTTGCAGCCAGGTGAAGGGGAAGAGTAGAGAGGCCCTGAGGCAAGACGAGACAAGACAAGAACACTGGAAATTACAAATATGTGCAAGAATTTCTTCCTTTTTTACATTTTCTGTACAAAGTAATGATCAAATTGGAGCTTTAAGACGTGCCAACTGTTAGAAATCATTACGTTTCTTATGGTTATCGCTGTCTTTATGCGTGTTGTTATTTGTAAACGATTTGGAGATATTGTTAGATATATGTTACGCTCTTTTCTGTACACGTGATAGTTTGAAACTTATATTTACTTGCTTCAAAAATGTTGGGAAAATGGTTGCATTTACCTTCCAGAGATCTTCTCCAGGTGTGTCGCCTATCGTTGTGAGAAAGCGTCCCCAATATTTATCCGACATGTCCTCTATACGTCCTCAATCTTCATCCAGAATTGCCGTTTAGAATTTATTGTTGGGAAACTTGACTGCTCCTTTCCTCATGTTTCTCCCTCTCCTCCAACATGACCAGGCACTACAGCTTCTGTGTGTGTTCAGTGCTTCAGGAGGTGTGTTGTCTTTAAAGGCTGGTTATTCTTGTTCGTCGGTGCAGCCATTCATTTTCTATTTTGTCAGTTAATTATGCTCTCTCTGTAGAGGAAATGTAAAAGCTACTTCTGTTTCCTGTGTTTCGATTTCATCATGTCGGTTTGAGTGTTAATAAGTTTGGTGTGAGGCCTTCCTGTCACTACTGATAACTTCTTGATGCGTGCAGGGCCAATTGTGGGGACTGGTGACACCCTTCTGAGTTATTTACAGTTCGTTCTTGTTCCTTTTAGCAATGCAAATGTGTACACGCTCTTCAGTCTGTCTTTAAAATGCAGAAAACTAAGTACAATTTGTCCGAATTTTAATAGAGTAACTAGTTTCTGAGTCAGTTCTCCCTCTGAAACCCTGACATTTTTTATTTCTGCGTGTAATATGTTGTATAAAAGATCTCACATGCAAAAACAGATAAAGTTAGTTTTGTCAGTGGTGCATAGTAACAAAGTACATTTACTCGGGTACTGTACTTTTGAGGGTACTTGTACTGAGTATTCTCAGTTTATGCTACTTTATTTTTTACTTACTTTACTTTAGTAAGTAAAAAAAACTTTACTTCTATTGGCTTCTACATTTAAGAAGCCAATATTTAACTTTTTACTATACTACATTTATCTTACAGCTTTTGTTACTATTTACTTTTTAGGTTTATTTGATCAGCTTAATTAATTATTAAATCAACATGACACATATTGGTAGGTTAAAATATCCAGCAGCAGTATAATATAAGTTATTACAATTAGCTCTACATTTAGTTGTGATGAAAACACATGAATAATCAAAAGTAACTCAATATATATATACGATTCTGAAACGGGCCATCACGCATAAGGAGTACTTTCACTTTTGGTACTTTAAGTATATTTTGATGCTGAAACTTCTGTTCTTTTACTGAAGTAAGATTTTGAATGCAGGACTTTTACTTTTAACAAAGTACTTTAAAATGTAGTATTGCTACTATTACTTAAAGGTGGGGTAGGTACGTTTGAGAAACCGGCTCGAGATACACTTTTTGTTATATTCCATGGAATGCTCTTAACATCCCGATAGCAATGGTAAAACCCTGAAAACAAAACAAATGGTTTGTATCGTCAGTTAGCTCAGATTATTCCCGGTAATCTGGTATAACACATTAATAGGTTCTTAAATATTAAGATCCCCTGAGACACAGTGTCGTGAGAAAAAAAAAGGACCCGCCGAGGGGGTCCTTGGGGCTTAACAGGTTAAGTGCTTTGACAAAAAATCCATTAAAAAATGTCATCTGTGGAAGCCGTAGCGCTGTAAAAAGCAAGACCAATCATTTTAGCCGGCCCGGCTAAAGTAACTGGATGGCCTACCTGCCTGTCAGCCTTCCATCTGGACAAATTTATCTCGTGCCCTCATTGGTCATGTGCGCGTTCGTGTGTGTTGGAGGAGGGGCTCTGTAAGGAAGTGGCAGATTTTTTCCGGCTGTGTATTTTCAAATTCTAGCGCACTCGAGCCGGTTTCTCCAAAATGACCAACCCCACCTTTAATAACACATCTGAGTACTTATTCCACCATTGTTTTTTGTACCCGTTTACTAAGGTAACTTATTCTAATGTCTCTTGTCCGCAGCCGAGAAACATTTTCCTCCATGGTCGTGACCGCCATGTTCGTATTGGGGACTTTGGCCTGGCCTGTAAGGACATCCTCATGGACGGCCATAAGAGCTCCACCTCTCCCACCACTGGTAATAATTCACCTTTTATAAAATTGTTTTTTTTGTTTCACAACACAGTACTTCACAGTATCACCACTAGATGGCGCTCTATGCTTTAAAGTCACACTTTCTGATTTATTTTAGCAGATTCCTCACATACCACAGGTGTCGGTACCTTTGTGTATGCTGCACCAGAACAACTGAGGGGCTCCCATTATGATTCAAAGGTAAACATATTCATACTAAAAAACGTATGATGAATACTTTATTCGTGTAAAATGTCACATACTTACGTGCTATAATATTTAGCCACTGTTATTTTTAATTAAGTGTATTTAAAAAAAAAAAATCTGTTTTACTACCAAAGGACTTTCTTGAGCAAGGCAGGACAAGTTTATTTATATAGCACATTAAACACAAGGCAAAGCGCTTGATAAAATAATTAAATAAAGCATTTAAAGCATTGAGATGCAATGCAACCGAAACACATACAATCAAATAAAAAGCCACAGAATTAAATACAAACAAAACAAGCTTAAGTAATTTCTTATTATAACTCATGTATGGATATTGCACATTTTTAGGCCAAAGAAAGTGATGAATTAACATTTAAGTAACACATACTAATTAACATTTTTTACACCTTTTTAAATAATAAGAAAATCTGCTTGATTATTGCCTTTAAGAAAAGGTACATTTCTCTACTAAATAGATATCCTTTATCATTTCAGAAATGTCTTGTAAAGTGGCTGAAACCATGTCCTATACTTTACAAACTTCATCCCCTTTTATTTCAATCAGGAGAGACTTCATTTTGTTTAAAGAACATTTATTGACACATGTCATATGATAAATGTTAAGTCTTTGGCGATTAGACCCCGATCCTGAAATCGTATATCTAAAGGGGGAAATGCAGCCGTGAGCATATAGGGAACCCCCCGGGGTCTAGACACGTGATGATGCTGAAGATCTGGATTTGATGAGGAGATGGGATGAAGAGGGGATGTGATGAGGTCTTTGGATTAGCTCTCCTGGCACTGGATATGATGAAAGGAGGTGGATGGGGAGGAGGTGGTCGGCAGCATGAACGCCTGAAATCACAGCTGACTGCAGGAGAGAGGAGAACCATTTAAAAGTTTGGCTGCAGCACAGTGATTGGCTGCTGAGATTGAGGTGAATGAAAGCTTGTGATAAGCTGATTATAACATTTATCATATGACATGTGTCAATAAATGTTCTTTAAACAAAACGAAGTCTCTCCTGATTGAAATAAAAGGGGATGAAGTTTGTAAAGTATAGGACATGGTTTCAGCCCACTTTACAAGACATTTCTGAAATGATAAAGGATAGATTTAGTGTGAATGTATCCCAGTCTTCCTGAAAGAATTTACGCTGAGCTTCATTTAATTATCATTTTTAATTCTAATGTCATTTTTGTACAGCTGTACATTTAAATGTTATTGTGCTGTTGCTCCCTCAGTCAGACATGTACAGCATCGGAGTCCTGGCTCTGGAGCTTTTCCAGCCCTTTGGGACCGAGATGGAGCGCGTCGGGACCCTCGGGGACCTGAGAGAGGGGAAAATCCCAGACTCCTTCTGCCAGAGATGGCCGGATCTGAGTAAAAACATCATGAAGCTGACGAGTAAAGAGCCAGCTGTTCGGCCCACAGCCACCGAGCTTCTACAGAGTGAACTCTTCTGCAGTAAAGACATAGTATGTTGGGATATTTTGAAACATATTAACCTTCTGGTAACTTATTGTGCTTCCAAAATGCAATAATCCTAATAATAACTACAACACAAACTTTTATTTTTCCTCTTCAGGTGATTCATGGTCTGCAGAGAAGGGTTGAAGAGCAGGAGGAGGAGATCATGCAGCTGAGGAGACAGATCAGTCGGCTTCAGAGCTCAGACTCCTCTGAGTCGGTCAAGTCCTAATGCTTAAAGAGTAATTGCCTCAAACACTATCAAAACTGGATTTATTCACCCACTGCTGTACCATGTTTTGCTCGCTTGGTACAAGTGGCAGAGAGAGAGAGAGAGAGAGAGAGTGAGTGTGTGTGTGTGTGTGTGTGTGTGTGTGTGTGTGTGTGTGTGTGTGTGTGTGTGTGTGTGTGGTGTGTGTGTGTGTGTGTGTGTGTGTGTGTGTGTGTGTGTGTGTGTGTGTGTGTGTGTGTGTGTGTGTGTGTGTGTGTGTGTGTGTGTGTGTGTGTGTGTGTGTGTGTGTGTGTGTGTGTCTTGTACACCTGAATCTAATGGTGCAATTATTTTTTTTAATGTAGCTGTTCAATACAAACTACTGTATCATGCGGGATGTCTGGGAAGAAGTATGTTATTTCTGATCATTTGAGATGTTGCTTTGGAAGGGGTACACTTATAACAAATTGAAAAAGTGACCTATAAGCAGAATTGACAATGTGCGTTATGATTTTGTGCAGCTTCTTGATCCTGAAGAAGATTCTGCACATTGTCAGAAAATTAAAACACGTTAAACCTTTCCATTTTTATTTTTCATGGTGACAGGGCACATTTATTTCAATGTTCAGACACATGTCTTTGTTCTGTGACCTGTACATGTGGTTTATGGTGGTTAAAAGGTTGAGTTTTTGGACCATGGGAATGCTCAGTTTTATGTTGACAACTTTTAAAAGTATAAATATTGTGGCCTACATTGGGTACTGCATAAACATTCCTTAAAATGGGCATTTCAGCATGGATAAATTAAATTCTGCTGTCACTTTCTGCTGCTTATGGCAACGTAGTTATTCTAAAACCACTTATTTTACATTTTAATGGATATAAAGTGCACATTTATTATACATTATACTACACAAAGGTCATAGGAGTGTACAAAAAGATGCTTTATGATGTACATGCGACGGATCTTCCCAAAAGACGTTCCTTCTCAGAGGAACGGCCGATTGGACCAATGGGAGACCTCGTTTCATTTCAGGTACCCGGATGTACCCGTGGGCAATTAGCTACGTCATTGTTCACCGCCGGACACCCGCTGGAAATAAGGAATGGATTTACAACCGCTACTAACGTATTCATAACAGATTCCAGGTGAGTGGTTTGTTGATTTTACGATTCAGTGCTACTTTAACCTTGCAGCTGTGTTATTTCTGTACACCTGAGTGGCTCTGATTAGTTGTAGTAGTCTTAGACCGGTTCTCTGTCATGTCGGAGAGAGAAGCACCACAACCACCGGTGTCGAGCCCCTCCTTTTTAGGCTACTTAGACCTCCAGTTACCCCGGTCAACGCGTTGTAAACAAAAAACTGCTATTATGCGTTTATAGTATTTATTTACGTTATTTCCCGCCGTTATTTCCCGCCGTTGTTCAGCTTTCACGGTGACGAACTAGCTAGCAGCGTTAGCATCATGGCTGTATAAAGACGACTGGAAACAGCGTTGGAGGCGGATCTCAGTTCATTCCTATGGTAGTTGCTCAGTGGCGCATTGAAGCACAAAATGAAGCGACTGTAGCTGTAGAAAGAACCAGGATCATCCGGGGCCTTTTGCCCACTGAGCATGCGCAGTTGAGGTTTCCCCTTAAGCCCTGCATCCGATCTCCCGCGCTGGGCTAAGTGACATTAATAGAGAAATAGATAGATACTCAATGTATCCCCAGTTAGGATATTATTGTGACAATCAATCTGCAGGAATTGCAAAGTGTATTTGTCAATGGGGGGGGAAAGTCTTTTTGAGCCAAAATGACGTCACGGGAGTTGTAGTAAAACCGTTTGGCCACTACAGCCATTCACAAAATTGGCTTCAACGGCTGTCGCATTCCTTGGTTAGCATCGATACTACCGCACGTAGTGGTAGCTAGCTCCGTTGCTAGCTATGTGTAACGGTCGCTGTTTCCATGGTGTTCGTAGCTTCGATAGCCTCTTGCTGCTAATCAGTCATTCTGTTCCTGCTTTTGGTGTGAATGGTGAGTTTTTAATCGCTTTCCTGTCTCTAACAATGAGTAAAAGAGGGGTTTAAAGCGAGTTGTGGTGCGGTTTAGAGACGCTGCGTGTAAAGGCCTAGCAGCCGTCTGTTAGCCAACGTGAGCCAAAGCAGGTGGGAGGGAACAGCTGTTGTTGTAAACGTGCTTCCGACCAGCACATTTCCTCTGTCGGGGTTTTTGAACTAGAAATGTTTACTTGGTGACTTTGTATGAAGTTTGTCGGGGTTAACACAAGTTAATGTATTACCACTGTTTTCTGGCGTTTCCTTTTGAATGGAAGTGTCCTTGAGTTGCACATTTGTACACAAGCTCTCGGCATCAACACAGCTTTCCACTTTCCATAACAATACTGCACATATTTGATTTTATTATTCTGAGTACTTTGCCATAGTTTACTGTATGTTGTTTTTTGGTATATCCAGATTCATTTCAGTTAAAAATCAGTTATATATCTTAACGTACAAAAGTTTTTATTATTTATTTGGTTGTTTTTCTTACTTTTTATCTTCTTTAACTGTGAACCCGTGGGCAATTAGCTACGTCTACGTCTACCTTATACTTAAGGTAAATTCCTCGTATGTGTAAACCTACTTAGCAACACACCTGTTTGTGATTCTGATTTCTAGCACAGAGAGCCAAGTTCATTTAGCTTTTAGATACAGTTAGAATGAGAACATCATTCACGATACACTCCCTGCTATTATGTTTTCAAAGCTTTTGTTATTGAGACTTTGATCAGTTTAATCTGTCAGACAGGACTTTACTCCCACATTAAGCCTCTGTCTTGTTTTATGATAATAATAAAATAAAATGTACATGCAACCGGAACTCAAGGCTGATAGTTTGAGCTCCTACTGAGTTTGGTTACTTTGCTCAATAAAACATTAATTATTCATTTGCTTGCACGTAAAGTAGGATCAGTGAGACGTTATTATATTCTGGATATGGCATTAAGTGGTTGTAATCTAAGTTATCTCTAATCAAATGAATTCTGGGTGACATGGTAATTTGGCGCGTTTTACTCATGTATAACAGCTAAAAAGTTCTGATGTTGTCAATGAATTCAGACTTCAGTCACACTCATGATAGCAACACACACAATAGATGTTCTGAAAAGCTTTGAACATGATCTGCATTTCAGCACCTCGTAAAACGGTGTTCTTCTGTTTCTGCCCCTCATACAGCAATGAACAATGACCATAGTTGACAGATCTTCAGAACATTCTGACCACGAGTCAGTGGGGTGTAAGCGATCTCCCTTTACCAGTGGAGACACGGGGATGGATGGCAGCTGTTCCAGCAGCTGGGCGATGGGTCCCACCATGTCGAGCGACTCTCCCAGGATGAAGGCTGCAGGAGGCTGCCTGGGCCCCACGCCGGGAGCCGCCGTCTACAACAGCACCGCCTCCTCTGGGGACCGGCCCAAGGAGCAAGGTAGGAGCCAGGGCTTTTATGGGCTGGGTTTGGTTTTGGTTTATTGGGTTTTTTCAAAGTCAATTTTAATGTCAATCTTTCAGTTTGTGTGTACAGACAGAGAGATCGAAATACCGTTTCCAACAATCCCAAATACAATTATACAATATAAAAATATGTATATCCTATATGCACAATCAAAAGACACATATGCACACATTAAGATAAAAAACACAACAATCAATATATACAAAAATAACAGTCACAATATTAATATCTTTATTGCAAGATTGTCTATAGCAGCGTAAAAAAAGTTTTCTCACCAAAAGGAGAGGAGACAATGCTGCCCCACAATGCCTTGCAGCCGCCGTCACGTCATGGAATCAACCGAGAAATGATATCATGAAAGTTACGGTGCTTATTAAGCATTTTAAAACGTCTGTGGTAAGTTGCCAAAGTGCTTTGTTTTGAACGTTCATCAGTATTATAATCAAAGAGAAATATGAACGTTAGTTTTTACTGAAATCATCAAATAAAGTCAACATTTAACAGTCTTTACTGAGCTGTGTGGTTTGTTCAACTTTTAAAAGATGTTTGAATGGTGATATACACAATGATAGATGTTAAGGACTAACGTTTATAATAAATACATTTGTATTGATTTTAAGATCTTTTCATAGTTCATACAATCATACGTATTGGGATCATTTGTATTAATGTGGACCGGAGGGAGAGGGTGACGAGCATAAGTTTCACTTTCCTTTTTTATTTCAATTCCAACTTTGGTCCTGAAGAATATGTTTCTCTGTTGTCCACGTTCATAAAGCAAAGCAACAGCATCAGAGCACGGTGCAGAGTCTCTAGATGAGTCCCTCGTTCTTATTATACATCCATGTTGTAGTCCGCTGTATAGAAAACTGTAGTTTCCATAGTTTCCCCACAGCAGCAGACGCACATTCATGACGTCCGCTGGAGCATCATAAACACGTCGGATAGTGAAAGTGCTGTCGGATTCTCTAAAGTACCGCAGTCTCTTCTCCTACGTCCTTTTGAATTCTCCTATCCACTATCCCTTAACCCCGTGACGTTTCACTCAGAGGTCAAGGAATAGACGATAGGGTTAGAACTTAGGAGCTGATTTTTGGATTATCCGACTGCAGCACAAATGAAACTAAAGGATGGTTGCTGTCGTACGATCGTGTGACACAACTGGTTTTGTGGGTTTGTATTGTTGTTGCTGCTTCCATTCCACTCTCATCCAAAGTTACATAACCGGTCCAGTTATGAAGTGAGGCCAAGATCAATATCCTGAGCCTGTGACGCAACTGGTTTTTTATATATAGAGCAGCCGCCTGTTTAGCAGGAACAAAAATAATAAATATTGCTTGTCTTGTTCTTTTAAATAGTTTTCCAGTCTTACTCGGTTGTTAGGATGAGATATTATCACTCTTGACTGAAAGCTATTGACTTGATGCTGTATGTACACCAATATGTATTTACATATGCAGTAAGGTTGAAGGATTTGGAAATGTAGGTATTGGACTGATATTGCAAATGTGATTTTGGAGGGAAAGACAATTTCTGCCTCATGGTTCCATTTTCATTGAAGATATAGAAAAATAATCGTGTTTTGTTTTTGAGAGGATCTTTAAGCCGAGAAATCTCTTGAGAAACACAATACTTAATTTAGAATATTATGACACATTTAGTCTCTAAAAATATATATTCCCTCCACCCATTTGGATATAACTGTTGTCCATATTGTAATTTTGATAAGATTCAGATGAATTGTTCAGCTCTAACATCTATTTCAGCATTTATACAGATACTTGTTGATATCCTGTACCTAAATCTATTATTATTAATATTGTTGTCTCTGTGTTTACAGTGATAAGCAGTGGAGATGGCATCGACACGCCCCAGAAGGTCCTCTTCCCTCCAGAGCGGCTCAACCTAAAGTGGACTCAGGTTCAGCGCATTGGTGCCGGTCTGCAGAACATGGGGAACACCTGCTTCCTCAACTCAGCGCTGCAGTGTCTCACCTACACCCCGCCGTTCGCCAACTACTTGCTGACTCGGGAGCACTCTAAAACATGTAAGTCAGTGTTTCATTGTGCTGCCTAACATTACGGTCATGTAGTTATTATCCCATCATGTTCTATTTTGAAGTGACTGTTATTTTGTACTTTTTGGTTGTTGTGTTTTTATTTACATGAAAGGGGCGGGGTTAGCAACATTTGACCAATCAGAAACACGGAGAAGCGTACTGACAGCGCAGCGTCATACTTCCTGAATGAAAAGTGAACTTTAATATTAGACATATGAAGAAGTTAAACTTTAAACATCCATGACTTAAACACTTTATCCAGGATAAAAGCCACAGAGCTGCACCTGCAAGGTGAATACAGCTGGGAACAGAAAAGTGTTTGAATGCGTACATTAACAGGTTTATGATATCACTGCCCCGCCTAAAACACGATTTCACTTTAATTACATTTGTCTCGAGTGTTTCTTCAACTTAATGAGTTGCTTAAAATAATACTTCTGCATACAGTATGTGACACTGTGAGTGTTGCACGGCCAGATACGGCTCAGCTGACTCAGATAAGAAAATATATGATACATTATGAAGTGATATGCCGCGGACTGTACTTAATGTTACTCTGATCCGGTTACTTATGTTGTGGCAAATATTTAATTAAGCTTTCTTAACGCTAATGTTATAATAGTCAGATTGCTCTGAAGATGGAGGTGATATTCTATTAATGTTCACGTTCACACAGTCGGTGATTTTTATTTAGATCTCAATGTGTGCATGTGTCTTTGACTATGTGTATATATATACTATTGTTTTTCACACATATTTGTATATACATTTGTTTTTATATTCGGGATTGTGGGAAACAGTTTTTGGATCTCTCTGTCTGTACACCAGAGTCCTGCACGGGTCTGATACCCGACCCGATGCAGGACTCTGCTGTACACACAAACTTGAAGATTGACAATAAAGTTGACTTTTGACCATAAGCTGCTTTCTGGTCTGTTTCAAGTCTAACTCATCAATGTTTTGCCCCTCTGTTTCGGCCACAGGTCACGAGCCGGGGTTCTGTATGATGTGCACCATGCAAAACCACATCATTCAAGTCTTTGCCAACTCTGGGAATGTCATTAAGCCCATCGGTGTGCTCAATGAACTCAAAAGTAAGTGTTTGTCATTTAACTTTTTCCAAAATGTTTACCTGAAATGAATGACAGGAGGCGCTGTGTGGCTGTTTACCTTTTTTAAATTTGGAGGGAAATTCTCTGGTGGTAGTTTGCAACAGGCTTTTGACTTCAACCTAACATCTACGAGTAAGTGTGGCATCAGCTTCTGACATATTTAACTATGTGTGTGTTTTCCCCGTCTCACAGGGATTGCTAAGCACTTCCGCTATGGCAGCCAGGAGGATGCGCACGAGTTCCTGCGGTACACAGTGGATGCTATGCAAAAGTCCTGCTTACCTGGACCCAAGTACGTTTTATACTTATAACCCTACGCAGTTAAGGATACCAGTTGATTAAATATCCCTTTAAGTTGCTAAATGGGTCAGAAAGTGAACTGTACTGTACATGCTGATGTATTCAACTTACTGCAAATACCTTCCAGTCTAAATCTTGCATAAAGCCAAATGCAGATACATTAAAGTATGCACGTCTAAAAACGTTTTAACGCTTTTGCCAAGTAGGTTACGTACACTTATGAAGGACACATGCATGTTTTAATAGACACTCTGGGCTGACCATTGGGGTCCTCTGGGAATAAAAGGGATTTTAAGAACCACGAGTATAGAGGCGATTTTCATTCAGCAGCAACAGGAGGCCTCTCAACTAATTACTCCTGCTCTAATTCCTCCCTTTCCTCACTCCTAGTCTTTCAGCTGTAATATGTTGTGACTCTCTGTGTGTAATCCTGTGAAAGGACTGTTCCAGCACAGCCAGAAAACACGTTTCTTTATTAATAAGGCAACCAATCAGTTACGTCGTTGTTCTAACTGTCTTTTTCATCCTTAGATTGGACAGGCAAACGCAGGCAACCACTTTCATCCATCAAGTGTTTGGCGGGTACCTGAGGTCCAGAGGTATGGGACAAGTATTGGACTTCTTATTCTTGATTTGTTTCTTTTACATTAGGTTATTTATTTATGATTTTACAGCTTTTCTAGACTAATATAAAACTCTCCTTTTTTCTTTTCCAGTTAAATGTTTAAACTGCAAAGCGGTATCCGATACATTTGACCCGTTTTTGGATATAACTCTGGAAATAAAGGTAATCAGAACTTTTTTAAAGTCCTTTTATGGAACTGTAATTGCATAAGAAAATTCATATGTTTGCAAAGATCTTAAGAACTGTGCTAAAATCCATGTTCCCTCCATGCAGACGGCTCCCAGTGTCTCAAAGGCTCTGGAGCAGTTTGTAAAGCCAGAACAGCTGGACGGAGAAAACGCCTACAAATGCACAAAGTGAGTTGTTTTACAGACACAATCATTCAAAAACAATCAGCTTTGTATTTGTGTGTGTAGCTATTATGCATTCGCCTGCTAACTAACTCAACATGTATTCCGCTCAGGTGCAAAAAAATGGTCACGGCCTCAAAGAGATTTACCATCCACCGCAGCTCCAACGTGCTCACGCTGTCGCTCAAACGCTTTGCAAACTTCAGTGGAGGCAAACTCACAAAGGTACCGTGACTCTAACATCCAGAGCCATGTCCCAGCTAAAGGACGGCACCGGTTTGATATTAATCAGCTGTTTGTTCCCCACCAGGATGTGAAATATCCGGAGTATCTGGACCTGCAGCCCTTCATGTCTCAGTCTCAAGGAGATCCGCAGCTCTACGCTCTGTTCGCTGTGCTGGTCCACTCTGGGTTCAGCTGTCATGCCGGACACTACTTCTGCTATGTTAAGGTACTGGCACTGATCACACCACTGTTCTAATCTATCATCTGCCGTTGCCAAGTACACATGCTCACATTTGTCTCTCCAGCAGTCTATTAACACCTCTCAGCAACAGTTAGACGCAGCGTTCCTTCAACAACTGCTGCTCTTAACAAACCCAGGTCTTGACCTAGAACAACGTTTCTCTCCAGCTCAAAGAGTACATTAACACTGTGTTACTATGCTGTTCAAATATGTATAATACATACAGACAGACATACAGACACACGCATACACACACACACACACATACACACACATACACATACACATACACATACATACACATACACATACACATACACACACACACACATACACACACACACACATACACACACACATACACACACACAGACACACGCATACACACATGCAGACACACACACACACACACACACACATACAGACACACACACAGACACACACATACAGACACACACACATACAGACACACACACAGACATACACATATACAGACACACACACACATACAGACACACACACATACAGACACGCACACCCATACAGACACGCACACACATACAGACACGCATACATACAGACACGCATACATACAGACACACACACATACAGACACACACACAGACATACACAGACATACACACATACAGACACGCATACATACAGACAGACACACACACATACAGACAGACACACACACACACACACACACACACACACACACACATACAGACACACATACAGACATACACACACACACATACAGACACACACACATACACACATACACACACACACACACACACACATACAGGCAGACAGACAGACAAACATTCGGAAGGTTTTTCTCGTTGTGCATCTCTTACTTTCATCACCGTTTTAAATCAAATGTACCAAACTGGGATCAATAAAAGTATATCTTCGTCTTTATAGGATGATTTTTGTAGAATAAACCTTTATTATGTTGACGCTTAAAATAGCAATTTAGAAACTGAGAGGAGGATTGTGTAACAATGATGATTCAGTTTAGCAAATATGTCAAAAATCTGCCAACTCTTCTGTTTCCCAGGCGAGCAACGGGCAGTGGTATCAGATGAACGACTCCTCTGTGTCTGTCAGCGACATCCGCTCTGTTCTCAACCAGCAGGCCTACGTCCTTTTCTACTCTAAGTAAGTAAACTGTCATTTTAGAACAAAAACACATGCAAACAAATCACAAAATGAGTCCTATTGCTAATGTCCGTTTTGTTTGTGTTCCTAGGTCCAGTGAGGTGAAGAAAGCAGGGGACTTCAGCCACATGAGCCACAGCGCAGGTCAGTCGTCTCCGCGGCCGGTGGTGATCCCACGCATCAACTCCGGCATTCACCACAACAACAACAACAACATCGGCTTCATTGGTCCCCAGCTGCCACCACACATGACCAAGGTACATCTAAACCAGGGCTTTTCAACCTTTCTTGTGCACATTTTTTCCATTAAAAAAAAAAAAAGTCCCACAGTTTACCAACAACCAAAAAAGTTACTTATACCGCATAAACGTTCATAAAGTGTCTCCATTTGGCTACGTGTTTATCTCCTAAGTAACCAGCTTTGAGAGCTCTCTCTTTGTGGTTATACATTAAAGAGGACCTATCATGCAAAATGCACTTTTTGATGTATTTTATACATAAATATGTGTCCCCGTTGTGTCAGGGAACTCACGCAGCGTCAGAAAATAAAACCCTCTCTCTTTTCCTCCGTACCCAAATCTCTAAAAACGGGGGAACAACGGAGCTCATCCAGGTTTGCGTCCGATATGACGTAATATCTGAAATGTGGACCCACAGCACTATCAGAAACGTTGCTATCAGAAACAATGCCCGACGTAATATGGTCTGTGTTTACATTAGCATCGCTAACACTCGGAGCTAACGTGTACTGGAGAGCATGTGTGTGAAGAAGCAGGAAATAAAAAGGAACTCACCTTGTGGTATAACCGGCAAGAGAGAAAGCCTTTGAGCTCCAGACTGTTTCAGAAATAATCCTTGATAATCCATGATATGGCATTTCATCACGGCAGCATTTAGTTTAGACAGTAGCTGCCGGGTCCCGCATGAGCTCAGACCCCTCCTCTTTTATCAGTTTTTTTTTTTTTTTATAAAGCTTTATACCCAAAATCAGCACTTTTGAAACAGGAAGTGAAATAGAGGGATATGAGGCATGGCTAGAATGGGTGATCTGTTTGGTATTTTGAGCAAAACACTTCATAGACATGTTTTTTATATATCTGAGACCTATGCTATTGCCTAATAATAGCGTGATAGGTGCACTTTAAAAAGTTACCAGTTTGTTAACGCATGCTAACAAAACTGTCAGTTTCCTTGTTTTGAAGTGACAAGTGTTTAGTTTGGACTATGGCGCTGTTGGATTTTAAATGCAATGACTAAATAATATTATTTGGACTGATTAAGTGAATTTGGACAATTTCCCACGACACACCTGACGATCTCTTACGGCACAGTGGTTGAAAACGACTGATCTAAACAATGTTGATCAAACATATTCGAATGTGAGAAGATATAAAGCCAGTGTTTAACAAAAAATCTATCTTGTTTGTCCTCAGCGCGCTCTTCACGTCAACGGGAACGGATCTCTGAGGGACTTTCACACCAACTCCAAGCCCAGCACCAGCAGCAGTGTTGGGGGGAAATCTATCCATGGACTGGCCTCTTCCTCCTCCTCCTCCTCCTCCTGTTCTTCCATCTCCCACTCTATCAGCCGGCCCACCATGATCCCAGACCAGGACAAGCGGCAGAAGCTTTCTTTCTTCATCGGACAAGGCAAAACCAACCGCCCGTCCTCCTCCTCCTCCTCCTCTTCCTCCTCTTACAGCCAGCCTTCCTCGGCCAGCTGCTCCTCCTCCTCTTCCTCCTCCAGCTCTCTCTCGTCCTCGCAGTCTACCTCAGACGTTCGATTTGTTCCGCGTCAGCTAAACCACGTTAACGGCACGTCTCGTAGTAACGGCGGTCACCACGCGGGAGGAAACGGAGCGTCGTTCTTGGTGCCGTACGGCCAGGAGTCCTCGGAGGAATCGGACCAGGAGAACTCTGGCTCTCTGGATAACGGCGGATTAGCAAAGTCTCTCCTCAACGGAAACAAGAGAGCGGGAGAGACTTCCTCTCAAGCCACAAACGGAGACTCGGGAGCGCATCACAGCGGGTTAAACGGACCCACCAATGGCGTCTCTAAATCCAGTCAAAATGGCCACCATAACGGACACCACAAAATGAATGGACACAACACCCCTAATAAGGTAAGTCTCCTTTCATATAATGAAACCTAATGAGCTTTTGGTTTAAATCGATAAATACTGAATGAATGATGTCTTGTTTTTCAGCTCTCTGGCATTAATCATGACACTTCATCCTCTGTGGCTACGGTTGTTTCTAATGGACACGACAGTGATCACAGTCAAGCAAGGTGAGATTACCACGCTATTGAGGGAATGCGGATGGAAAGTAGCTCAAAGCTAAATCCGGCATATTTACGCTTGAAATATTTATTGTGTTAAGTGTTCATTAATCTGCAATGTCCCTGCCAAATAAAGGAGAGAAAGAAACTAAGAAATGCTGTTTAAACCAAATGCAAAACATATTTCATTTGCATGGCTTGATCACATACAAAATCGATGCATAGCAGCGTTTCCGCCAGGGGGGCGTCTTGCCGTCATTTGACAAAATGAATTAAAAAATTGAGAGAAGATCGAGAGTTTTTATCGCTTGAAATGACGAAAAAGGACAAGGACATCGCTCTGTTGGAGGGGCGAAGGAGTCTGGTGGGATTCTTTTCGCCGCCAGCAAAGCGTGTTCCTGTGACGGAAAGTGTACTGCCGGCGAGCCTTGGCGGGGGGTGCTAGTGGAGCACGCGCGTGAACTGCGAGCGCCGGAGCCTCGCAGCGGCGAAACTAAGGCTCCGTGGTAAACTGTGGTAACATGAAGAGCCGTTAGTGAGCCGAGCCAAATGATCCGGCTCACTAAAAAGAGCCGGAATTCCCATCACTAATACGTAAATATATGGTATCTATAAGGGACGGCTCAATTCAAAATCACGTGACGTTACACCTCCCGCTCTCGGGGTGGACGCCCTCTCGGCCCTGGGGTGTTTCTCAATGTCGAGTAAAGCTGCTCCAGAGCCACTATTTCAAGCATACTACGTCATCGAGTGCCGCCGAAGTACTGTTCCAATGTCCAGCATACTTGGAATTCTACCGAGCCCGGCGTACTTCGTAGCGAGAAATTTCGAGGCTGCACATGTGTAGACTCCGCGGTCGTAAAATCCCCACAATGCTTTGCGCACGGACCAATTTCCCCAAATCTGTGGTGGAAAATGTAAGACGGGGCCTCTCATATGACGCACACTTGCTCGCCTGTTCCACTCTTCGTGTTCCGAATGCCAGGAAGTATTCTTGCCTCGCTTCTGAAGCAAGTGACTCGGAAGACATGTGCTACCAAGCAAGCGTACTCGACATTGAGAAACACCCCTGGTCTGGCGGAAACACTGATGCATAGTATCTGAATTTAACCGCTATATCACTCCAATAAACACGATCCATTCAGGTGCACGATTGTTTAAATATACACAAAAGATCCCCTGGTCAAACTTGCATGTAACATTAAAATGAGCTGATTCAAAATGGGAAATGTAATTGCTTTCAACCATATATTAAGAAGTTAAATAAATCTGATTTGATTAGTGAGTATAAAGATGTGGTTTCAAAATCTACTTGGCTGCATCGATATTTTATTTTAAAACTTCTCAGACATTTCACCCAAAAGTGTTACAATTAAAATGCTTCTTTATTTTGTTTTTCTAGCCAAGAGGCCCATATTGCTGCTTCCTCCCTGGCCAGTTCCTCTCAGAGCCCCCATCCCGCTGCCAGTGAAACCCAGAGCGTCCCCCCTCCTGACATAAGGGCTACAACTGTGTCTGAACCCCTGCCTCCGCAAGCACCATCCTCCTCTCCACCTTCAGCTACTCCAACAAACACTCACCCCGTCACGTCCAGAGAACCTGCTTCTTCCTCTTCTCCTGCCCCGCCGCACAGCATCCCTGCAGCCTTACCCCCCCCGACAGACGACTCCCAAAACACCAACGAGACGTCTGCAGCTCCACAGAGGATTAGCCGAGGTGAAGAGGAGGCAAAGGATCTACCGAGGACTCGTGATCCGTCAGCAGGGACTGAAGGACGCACCGACTCTAAGGAGCAACCCCAGTCCAAGCCCAGTTCTAGAGGAGGGGAAAGGCAAACATCCCGGGACAGAGAGAGAGACTGGAGCAGAGACAAGGACAGACACTACAGGGACAGGAGCCCGGTGCGCGAGAGAGACGGAGACAGACATCGGTACAGACGAGATTCTCGGGATCGTTCTCGGGATCGCCACCAACACCGCTCGTACAAGGACCGCTTGGTTCCGTACAACCGGTCCTACAGGGACCGGGACCCTGATCGTCGCAGGGACCGGCCTTTCCTCACACCCAGGGAGCGGGAGCGGAACAATTACAACTCCAGAGATGATTGGGGTCACGAGCGGAAGGGATACGGTCACTCGTACCGAGAGGATAGGAGTCGGCAGCCGGAGAGCAGAGAGTCCCGGCCGATGAAGGAGAGGAGCACCGGCAGGGAGAGGGATTATTATACGTCGAGAGGGGAGGCTTCCTCGCCAAACACAGAGACAGAAACCTCAAAGGGTTCCCCCCCTCGGGAGCGTCCAAACGCAAATGAGTCGCCTCCGAACAAGGAGGATCACAAGAGGAACGCCGATCCTCCGAGCAAGGAGAGGGAGGACAGCTCTGAGACTCGGTGCTCGAAAAAACACAAAAAGAAGAAGTCAAAGGATAAAGAGAGACACCGAGAGAGCGGGTGAGTTATGCCTCTGTTTAAATTACATTGTTTACCCAACAAACGTAATGGAGAGGCTGTCACTTTACTAAATATACTCAAATATATGTTCAGTATTTGGTCTAAATGCTTTCTGCTTTGAGTACATAACAGTTCAGGGGGTCCGCGGGGTCTTAAAAAGTATTAAAAGTTGATAAATCAATTTAGTGAAAATGAAGGCTATTAAACGGCATTTTCCAAGGTATTACATTTTGTAGCTTGTTTTCAATAAGTATATAAATGGTCCAAAGAGGTTGTATTCTACAGTCTGCCTGAATGTAATCATTGCGTAGGTGTGTAGTGTGATTCTGTGTAGTTTATTTATGGCATCCCGTTGGGTTTGACGTCATCTGAACAGGACATCGCACGCTCACTGCTTGATAGCGCGAAGGTCCGTTTACGCCGGTTGTTAAACAACATCGTTATGGGGAAATGCAAGTCTGCGTCCAAATGGTTGGAAGATAAGGAGGAAGGACAATCAATACTGTATATAGTCAATGTGAGGTAAAGTGTGTCGCCAAGGTAACCGGTTAGAACTCCAAGTGGCGATGAGGTCTTAAAATGTATGGAAAGGGTCTTAAAAGGTCTTACATCTGACTTCAGGATTCCTGCATACCCTGCAGAGGCTTAAAGAGGTTTCTTGAACTGACAGAGAAGGGAAACATTAGATTTACTTTATTGAACTATGTTTTGAATAGCGCTGTTTTGGATAGTCATCTTGCTCATTCATTCAGTAGAACACAACACATGCATTGTACTATCCTCGATTCTAGGGCTGCTCGATTATGGCAAAAATCGTAATCACGATTATTTTGGTCAATAATTGATATCACGATTATTAAAAACGATTATTCATTTACTTCAAAGAAATGTGAACAGTATGTTTTTAACAGTTGATTACCCTGAACTTTAAGTATAATTCAACTGAAAAACCAATCAAAATAATAATCGTTTTATTTAGATTACGTTGTTTTCGTAATCGTTGTAAGCCGTAATCGAGATTAAAATACGATTTAATTGCACAGCCCTGCTCGATTCTAAACTTTATTGCTTGATTATTTTTGGGTTGATTCGATCAAACAATCAGTCACTCAATCTGCCACATATTAGATAAATCATTTTATACTTTTTTTTTAGACTTCTGCCTCTCAAATCAAGGTTCAAGGTTCTTTATTTAGTCATACGAACATAGCTGCAGTGTAGTTATGCCGATGAAAATCTTGTGTCACAGGCTTCTCCAACAGAGCAACACAAAACACAGATAAACAGAAAAAATATAGTGCAAGTAAATAGTAATACAAAAAGTGAAATAGTGCAATAAGAGTCTATATGCAAGTTATTGGAATAGGATATATTTAAGCAATAGCTCACGACAGGCCGTGGTATATGGCCATTATATCACAGTTAAGGGGCGTGGTTCGGCCCAACGCGAACTGTATACAGTTTTCAGCCAAACTGTATACAGTTAAATCGACCGGACTTCTTTCTGCAGATGTGAGCGTCCTTAACAACGGTCAATAAGTCCTTGCTGCACATTATCCCTGACATGTTTCCATCTTAAGCTTTGTTAGTTAGTTAGTTAGTTAGTTAGTTAGCTAGTTAGTTAGTTAGTTAGCTAGTTAGTTAGTTAGCTAGTTAGCTAGTTAGTTAGTTAGTTAGTTTCGTAACGGACGTAATGTAACAGTTGTAACAGTTGTAGCTTTTTCTCAGACGCGGAGGGATACTGACTTGTTGTGAAAAGTAACTACAATTCTACCCGTGGTATACGCTCGTTATATCACGGCTAAGAACCAATCAGATTGCTTGATTTCACTTGTCCGTTTTATAAAGATAAATCATTTTGAAGTAGCAGCCAGATGAATATTAGGGGTGTTGCTTCAACAGTTCAGGTGTTAAACAGTCTTATTGCCTGTGGGAGGAAACTGCCCGAGTCTGTGGTTGTAGGACTGTTTGCTTTTGCTGTGTTTCCAATTCATTTTAAAATCACTTAAAATGTGTTCAACTGAACCAGCTCCTAAATATCACGAGGAGCTGAATGTCTTGAGCTATTGACATTCAGCTTTCTATCTAGTCTTGGATTTCTAGTAACCCTGGTGAGTTTTCCTTCTTCTCTAGGAGCTCCGAAGCGGATTCAGACCGAGCCGCTGACCCCAAAAAGAAGAAGAAGAAGCGGAGGAGGCGCAGCGAGTCGGAGCAGCCGGGACCGTCGAGGGTCCGCGGGAACAAGAGCAGCGAGGAGAGGGAGAGCAGCAAGAGACGATACTACGACAGCAAGGACGCTAAACAACACAACGGTTACTCTCCTGAAAAACGGCGGCGCACAGATCACAGCAGCGGCAGCAGCGAGCAGCTCCCCCCCTCAAACCCCACCTCCCCAACAGACGCTTCAAATCAACATCTCAACGGATACAAAGGTACTTCAGCTTTTACACCTTCAATATATAGAGAGGCGAAGTCCCTCCCTTTCCGGTGACCACCATGGGACCTTATTTCGGAAAAAGTATGTATTGAAGTCAATGGCGAGAGAAAACGTATCTTTCGATCCCGTTTGAATTGTGCCACGAATTACACCTCTTATTATTATCTCTCTATTGCTAAAAATGTACCTTTTTAAAGATGAGAGAAACGCTGCTGTGGAGCCTGCCCTTCAATGAGGACATATCAGAGCCTGCTTAATCCATCAGATGGACCGAAAATGTTATTAATATGATTAATTGTTTAAAGTACATTTTTAATGTCTAAATGTGCTTTTTGTTTGCCTTTTAAAATATGGTTAGTTCCAGGATTGTTTCTGTTTTAAATCCTAATGGAATATATTTGGGTTTTGCACCAAAAAAACACTCGCTTTTTGAGAAACTTCAATGGCTTTTTTTTCACGATTTACAGGCATTTTGTAAACCAACAATGAACCAATTCCCCATCTGATTGCCTTCCATTAAATGACTTTCTAGAATTCGTCTGTTTGGTAGTGACTGGATGTGTAAATGCAATCGGAGCAGCTCGAGGCGCTCTGTAGTGACGGGAAACAGAACGTGTGAGGTGAAGATTTAAAGTGTCCATGTTGTTTTGCAGGAAATGGTTACAGCCACACGAACGGCGACTCCCACGGATCCTCCAGTGGCTGGAAACACTGACTGTGAGTGGGCTTTCATCATCATCATCATCATCAGTACAGACTAGTGTTAATTTCGTCAGCTATTTTTTTATTTAGTCTTAGTCCTGTGTTAAATTTTCTTTTTAGTTTTAGTCACCTTCATCCGGTTTTTATTTAGTCAAGTTTTAGTCGACTAAAAGTCTGAGCATTTTAGTCTTATTTTAGTCAAAGAAAACTAATTATTTTAGTCTACTTTTTGTCAATGAAAACTGTTGAGTCTTTTTTAGTCATCAGATTATATAGAACATTTCAGTCAAACTAGTCTAGCCAAAACCAATAATTTGTCATTTTAGCAAATATAAATAAATAAGATTATATCTTGTCCTTATTTGATGAAAAACACAGGTTGAATGATTAAGAAGCTTTGCAGAGAGTATCTGCTCAGGTTTGTGGTGTTTTTACCAGCTGTGTTATGGCCACATTGCTTCCCTTCTGATGAAACAATGCATTCGTGTTTTTTCTCCGCCTCATTGTAGCGAAAATGGGCCCAAATATCACGTCGTTTCTTTCTCCCAAGCAGTGGTGGCTTAAGACTTTTTCGTCAGTCATTTTGACGGACAGGATCGTAACATTTCCGTCATAATCCATTATTACCCGTCGAGTACACAATTTATCACTCACTCGCGCTGACGGGGGGTATTCGGTTAACGCGAGTGCGACCACTGCTCCCAAGCCCTGTTGCCATTTCATTTTCTGGTTAGGTTAGTTAGACCCGAGTCTTCCTGACAGTTCACAGTGTGCCGCTGCCCGGTGTAATTCAAATGTACCGCCGCGCGCACCACAGACACACAGCTGCTGACCAGCCGCAGCACCGGAAATGGAACTGCTGGCAGAAAAACTGACTATCAGAGATGTAACGTTATCTTTGATAATATTTCGTCTCCTCATTTTTCGTCAACGAAAGTAAAGAGATTTTGGCATCGTTTTTATTTAGTAAACTACATTTTCGTCTCGTCACTTTTCGTCAACGATATTGCATGATGATTTCGTTACAGTTATTGTTTACTGCCGTCGGTGCCGTCTCGTCATCGTCTCGTTTTCGTCATGGAAAAAAAGGTCGTTGACGAACATATTTCGTCAACGAAATTAACACTAGTACAGACACTGCTTATAAACAATATATAACATTTATCAGAATTGTTCACAACACGCTTATAGACCCCTTGCGTTAGAGGCGATATGGAGGGCCGATATCCCAGATCTGGATCCAGAGTTTGATTGGGATGAAGTCTGGTCCAATATACTAATGGCTTCTAGGAATCCTGACCACCAGCACATACATTATAATTTCACTCATAGAGTTTACCTTACGCCTAGGAAGCTTTGTTTAATGAAAATAATTGCTGATCCAAATTGCACTCTGTGACGTACTTATCTACATATGTTCTGGGAATGTCCGCCAGTGGCCAGTTTCGGCGATATTTGAGGGGGGGGGGGTTGTTTCTTTCTTTAGATTTGTTTTGTACTGTATTGCATTTGATGTTATTGATTGTACCATTTGTTTAATAAAAAAACAAACGTTGATCAGATGTTATAACAGGCCTCTTCTCTCTCCTTTCAGCCACATCACCATTTCAACAACAGCAAAGGAATGACATCTTTTCTTGACGTGGTGCTTCTTCGTTGGGAATATATTGTATTTTTACCGCGAGAAAAGTGTTTTAAAAATGTTTTGTTTTTTCAAAGGCCTCGATTTATATGCCGTAATTCTCCTAACTATGATTTAAAAAAGACACTCAATGGACATTTATGATAAAATATTAATATATATATACTTGTATGAACACAAACAAAGCCTGGAGCTTGAACATCTCAGCTGCTGCTCAGTGGAACTCAGGACATGGAAACTCGTGGATATCCACCTGCGTCACATTCAGACAAAATAAAGGGAAAAGGAGAACTGTAAGGCATCGGCTGCAGGTTTTAGACGTCACCGTATCTCCGGAGCCACAATGCTTTGGAGTTTATTCTTTGATCCCACTGGGTGCGGAAAGGAGGGAGAAACTCGTGAATGAAACCCTGGACAGACTTGAGGACATTTCCCAGCTTGTTTTTGCTCTGAAGCCTAAGATTCACGCCGTCATTTTTAAACTTTCCACACACGGAGGTATGGCACGCCTCCCTCTTCTCTCCTGTCACGTTGCTTTTGGATTCTTTTGAAAAGGAAACCATCTAATCTTTGTTAATCATGCCTGTGGACCATTTGTGTTTGATTTTTAATGAAAAATACAGTTTTGTGTCTTCTAGCGTCATCAAAAATACTGTGAATTTAATTTTGAACTGTACTATCAGTTATTTTTATATGTAAAGATCCTGTATCAGGGTTACCTGTAGATGTTGATTTGTTTTTAGAAAAACTCCTGTTAATATCGACCATTTTCTCTGTTCAAAAGTTGGGAATGTTTTTGTTTTATGTTGATTTTTTTCAACTTTAGACAGAAGTTGAAAATTGCTACTACCTTTTATGTTTAGCATGTCGAATTTATACATTGTATAAGGTAAAAGCCTTAAATACATTTGTTAATGTCAGAAATTGTAATCTCTTCTTGGTCTTTTGACTCGTTTACAAGCTGTATTGAAATGAATGGGAAACTGATTGACAGTTGCCGGGTAAAAAGTCTGCCTTTGTATTATATACTAGGATTAGATTGTATCCAAAGTTCCTTCATTATAATATGTAAATACATTAAGTGTGGATGATAGCACTCTCCTGTAATCACAACAAGTTAAATACACATTTCCAGCTCAAACTCACTCTATTATTCCTAAAATACTTCATAAATAACCAAAGACCTGGTAAGTTAAAGGTGGGGTAGGTAATTCACTTCAGAAACACTTTTTGTTATATACCATGGATTGCTCTTAACATCCCGATAGCAATGAATACATGAAATGCTTTGATAATAAATACATTAAAAAATGTCATCTGTGGAAGCCGTAGCGCTGTAAAAAGCACGACCAATGATCTGAGCCGGCCCGGCTAAAGTAACTGGATGGCCTACCTGCCTGTCAGCCTTCCATCTGGGCACAAACTGATCTCGTGCCCTCATTGGTCATGTGCACGCTCGTGTGTGTTGGGGGAGGGGCTCTGTGAGGAAGTCTGAAGGAAGGGACAGATTTTTTTCCGCTGCGTACTTTCAAATTCTAGCTCACTCGAGATGGTTTCTCCATTCTTACCTCCCCTACCTTTAAGCTCTTTTCACTGAATTCACATGCACACAAAACAGTTTTCTGATCAGCATATTTTTATTCATAGTATTCATGAGCATTTCCCCCAAACTAAGATCAATTAACCTTTAAATTACATACTGTTAAAAAAGGCGGCAAGTCGTCTCGATCTCCGTTTGGGAAAATCAGATTCCAATTTCACATCATTCGAGTTTTAAAATGTCCAGTATTTAGCTTCTTTCAGGGTGTTTTTAACTCACTTTACTCCATTTTCCAGCTCAGTGAGTTTTCTTCGTATAACTTCATGTATTCTCTGATCTTCAGTAATAACTGATCGTGAGGCGGAGGAGTCGCTGCTCCTCCACTTCTGTAAACTCAGCGGTTCAAACTAAAACAGGTGAACGGGTACAGGCCGATATGATTTACATGCTACATAAACACAACAGAGGAAGAAACAAAGGAACAGTATGTACAATATATTCTACACATGCATAATGTAAATGACGGGGGGGGGGGCTGCCTCTTTTGTTAACCAAATTAAGAAAATAAATACAAAATAAATGAACACAGGTGGATCTTCAATACATAAAATGACAGAAAATAGGATGTGTGTTAGTGTTTGAGGACACTTTAAAGGGGCTTTATATATATTGAGAGTATACATAACCTGCACCAATTCCTTTGCCTTGAAATATAAGAGCTGCAACAATTATGTATAATCCATAATAACAGATCAATAAGGCATTTATTTATGAAGACATTTCCAAAAATGCTTTTTTTAGCCTATAAAATATCGTGATTTCAATGATTTTCTCTGTTTTACATCATAATAAATGGAATATCTTTAGGTTTTGGAACAAACCAAGCCATCCCCTTGGACTTCGGTAACTGTCATGGTAGGGCTGCTCAATTAATCGTATTTTAATCGCAATTACGGTTATGGCTGGCAACGATTACGAAAACAACGTAATCGAAATAAAACGATTATTTTGTTATTATTTATTTTTGTTATTAAATATTGTTTCAGTTGAATTATACTTAAAGTTCAGGGTAATCAACTGTTAAAAACACTTCCAATTTTTTTTCTCCAATAAATTGATGTTTTCAAAGTAAATGGATAATCGTTTTTAATAATCATATCAATTATTGACCCAAATAATCGAGATTATGATTTTTGCCATAATCGAGCACGAGCAGCCCTATGTCATGGACATTTTCCACTATTTTCTGGCCTTTTATAAACCAAAAAATTAATCAGATTAATCAATACATAATTAGTTGCAGCCCTACTGTAAATGAAATATGAGCTTTTTAGAATAAATCTGTGTTTGCATGTACAGATACAGTCACTAACAATCAGACCAGCTGATTTAATAAGCTTGAGGCTTTCTGTAGCAGAAGAACATGTGAGGTGAAGATAATAAGATGTTTTCCTGGTATCTGGGAGTCAACGCCAAATAAGGAAAAGCCACGTATGAGCTCATCCTCATGCGTCCACCAGAGGGCACACTATGCAAAGATTTCCCATGATTCCAGTCATGGCTGTAGTCCTGTTCCTTTTGTCCATTTGTTTTAATCCAGTTTTTTGTCCATACAGTCCCCCTAATCAGTGTTCAGAGTCCCTCACACACAGGTGCACGCCAATGATCCATTTCAGTCCCAAAGACAAGCACCTGCTGCTGTCTTCCAGCCGTGAAAGAACACACATGAGGCCTTCACCACACACACACACACACACACACATACGAGGACTCAGGTGTGTTTGACGGTGTGACGGTCATCACTTCTTATTGGCTATCCTCCTCTTCCTGGTGGCCAGCATGTCGTAGAAAGGATCTTTGCTGATGCTCGCTCTGCAGAAAAGGAGAGGAAGGAAACACATCACTTTACAGCTGCTTCTGTACATCCAAATAAGAGTAGTTTGCAAGGTAGACATGTCAACATTATGAATAAACTGGATTTTTGTTACCACTCAAATCTGTTACTATAGAGAGAAGAATAGCATTGTTACCCGTGACGTATTTGTGAAGTATTTTTAGGATGAGGGGCAGTCATTTCTTTGACCTTAATCTGTCTTGTATCTATCAGTCGGAGCTTCGTCTTTTGTCTCCGCCGCTCTCTGACGGATTTAGAAAGAAACTCTTTTGCTTTGATTCTGCAAGATCAACACCAAAACCTGACATCTACAGTGATTCGTTGCACCTGATCTTCACTCAAACACTCCTTCCCATTCTATAAATATCTCACTCAGAAGTTTTTTTATCTGAGCATGTTGACAAACACACAAGAGAAAATGTATGCCTATTCATACAATAAGATTGGCTCTTTTCTTAAACATGAGGTTGTCTATACAATGTCAAAATAGGTAGCTTTACCATCAGAGTATTTTATTCAACTTAATTGTCAACAAGGCAATTGACAGCAGTCTCAGGGAGGTAAGCAGTCAATCAAAATGTCCATAGCTAAGTGCAATAATGCTTAATAACTGTGACCGGTTACTGTCAATACAAAGATTTGACTATTTGGACAACTCCTAGCAGACAGGAAGCAACGTTAGCATTCGTTTGAAAGCTAGAGCGATCGTGTTTCTGGCCATTTAATGTCACTTCGGTATCTCCTTGTAGCTCTGTTTCGCTCTCAGCCAAGTCAAAATATCTCTGGCTCTTTAGCTGCTTAATGTCCACCTATGTTCCCCGGCTAGGTCCTCACTTTGTTGCTAGCTAAATAATTGTGACGAGTTACTGTGTGTACAAAGGGCTGACTATTTAAACTACTAGAGGACATGAAGCAACAAACACATTAGCTTGAAATCGTGTTTCTGGCCACTTGATATCACTCTTATATCTCCTTGAAGCTCGATTTTGGTCTCCACCCTCTCCTGACAGAAATGTCGGACTCTTTAGTTGCTAACTCAGCCTGTCTTTTTGTTTTGGGGAGAGTATCTCAGACTGGCTCCGGCTCCCTGTGGAAAAATCAACGTTGCATACCCTAAATCTTTGTACGTGACACACACTCAGGATGGGAACACGCAGAATAACCCGCAGCCTTCCCAGCAGCACAACATGCTGAGGTGGCCAGTGTTATTTGTGTGTGTGTGTGCGTGTGTGTGTGTGTGTGTGTGTGTGTGTGTGTGTGTGTGTGTGTGTGTGTGTGTGTGTGTGTGAACAGAGCAGTTTCCAGGAAGCAGATGAGTCAGGTGTGTGTCTTTCTGTGTCTGCAGACCACAGGAGGGTGTAATGAGAGTGTGTGAGTTTGAGTCCAATCTGTGATCTCTGTTGTTCCAGCAGTGACCGGAGGACCCTACTCGTTCTGATGCTGAGTGTGAAACAGAGAGTGTGTGTTCAGAGGGTCAAATCGTTTCACTCCTCCAACTGTTGGGAGAAGGGGCTTTTACCGTCATGGTTAAAAGCCCCTTTTTGTAGACAACTTGAATTATTCAGCCTACAATATAACACCACTTTTTTTAATGATATTTTAACAAAACATACAATTACTAATTTTTTGATATTTTCAACATTGTATATTTTGACTTTTTTCAGCATAATATACACATTTTGTATACTATGACTTTTTCATGATATTTTCACCAGTTTATACGAAGACATTTTAAATACTTTTTGACATACATACTTTTCACAATACAATGACCTTTTTTATATTTTCCGTCAACATTGCTCTGACTTTTCTCATTTATTGTCTAACATACAGAGAGCCAGCTTCACCACGCCACCAACAATAGTGGTTTGCAAGCCAGGATGACAAGTCGCTAACATTGCATTGTTTTATGTTATTCATAGTTGGTCATTTTGATGTTTGTTGTATCTTCTGGCAGTTTAACTGGGAGGCTGTTGTTTAATTCTGCTCTGAATTCCCAAAGAGACTCTGCTTCACAATGGGAAATACCCCTCGTTCAATAAAAACAAAACAACAATCTCCAACTGAGAGGAATTACCACCTCTCTTTTCCTTCCAATCCCTTTAACTGTATACGAAGCATCTCAGGATCTGTAGTCACTTATTAAAAGAGAACACACCTTTCATTTATTGGATACTCTTTCTAACGCTAAGAGGTTTTATAACATCATTAGAGCCCTGAAGCGACGTGTAATATGATTTCTGCCGTGATATTATTGATCATATTTGCCGGTGAAGTTGCAGCTGAGTGGATTATAAGCAGCGAGCTGATCAATTACCCAATTTACAGCTTCACCTCCACTCCTTCCCTGCTTACAAGGCTGAATTTGGATATGACAAATCTGGTGTGTGTGTGTGTGTGTGTGTGTGTGTGTGTGTGTGTGTGTGTGTGTGTGTGTGTGTGTGTGTGTGTGTGTGTGTGTGTGTCTAAACAAAGGGAAGTGAGCTTATCCAGCAGAGCAGAAATCACCCCTGAGTGTTATCTGTGTGGAAGTGTGAGAAACAGAGTCGCATTCAGTCACTAGCGTCTAAGTGTGTGTGTACTAGCTGCACATATATGATAAAGCTCACGTGTGTGTGTGTGTGTGTCTCATAGTCAAGGTCAGACGTGAGAAAGTACCACCTGGGAGCCTCAGTGTTGGCTAAGTGCCCCCTCAGTGTAAATGGACCCCCACTAACGCCGCGTCTCTTACTTGATGGATTTGATCCACTCCTCCTTCTCCTCCGGCGTCGGGGCAGATATCCTGTACACCACGTGGTTGCCCTCGACGACTCGCCCGTCCGCCTCCGTCTTACAGGCCTTGATCACCTGACCTTTGTGGTTCGGCTTGTACAGCTCGAAGCAGTTCTGGGGAGGCAACGAAAAGATATGCACGGTGAAAAACAAGAAAACATGTCAGAGAAAAGTGTGATGTTAAAGTGACAGTAGATTATTGTTGCTTATCATTATTAATATATGTTGACTGCTCTATGTAACGGCTGCAGAACAATGACACCCCCTGCGTTTATTATAGTTACATGTAAACCTCGCTTTTACTTTGCAATACGCTCTGTTACTGAGTCGCATTTAAATATCTTACAATTTAACAAATGAGCTCAGAGCAGCTTTTTTAGGTAGCAAAACAACTAAAGTAATGTTAACTGTAGAAACTTTATCGAGCAAATGAGCTTCATGGAAGGAGGAGGCAAAGAAGGGGAAGAGGGAAAGTGATAAAAAAAGTATTTCTACTTCATCGCTAAGTAACAATATCTACCTAGTTATTAATACAAGAGGTGTTTTAATCTGCCTTTTTAATAGCTCTGAGATTAGGGTTTCTTCTAGGGTTGATATTCTTGCAGTTGTTTCTTGCTTTATACAGTATAAAGGCTGCTAGCTGTAGCCATGTCGCTAACATTAAATGAACGATCAAAGATTCTTATTTGCATGAAAAGGAACAGATAGAAAAAATACTTTAGCGACGTTTTTTGTGCGACGTTTTTTTCAAAACAAATGCAATATGTCCTGGGTTGTTGGTTGCAATAACAATTATACCACATGGGCATACAAATGATTTATTTCTGCTTTAAAGGAGATAAAGAAAGAGTGTCTGGAGTTTCTACTCACAGGTTTCCTGGGCTCGTCCACCTCTCTGATACTCAGGTTCTCCAGAGGAATTATCCCACGAGGCTCTTTATCCTGGAAACACAGAAGCATCAATACATCACTCATTAAGTGCATACATGACAGTAAAGGACACAACCAGTGATTAATGAGGGCGCAATGACACAGAAAGTCAAGCCCAGACAACATCACACGGTCAATTCACATGTGAGCATGCTAACACGCTAAACTAAGATGATAAACTGTAAACATAATACCTGCCGAACATAACATGTAATCTTGATTGTTGGTTATCAAATGCATACAACTAAATATAACAGAATATGTTTCTTTATTGTCATTTAGGACACATTTTACTACATAATTAAGCTTATATTTAACTAATATTCCTACAGTGTTATCTCCACGTGAGGTTAGTGGAGGATGACTGCTTCCCTAGTGAGGATCTTATTCTTCAAAGGAAACTCATATAAATAACGGTTTGCAACAGCTAGAAATTGCATTTAATTATTGTGAATATGTTTTGAACTTAAAGGTAGGGTGGGTAAGAATGGAGAAACCAGCTCGAGTGCGCTAGAATTTGAAAGTACACCATCGGAAAAAATCTGCCCCTTCCTTCAGACTTCTTTACAGAGCCCCTCCTCCAACACACACGAACGCGCACATGACCAATGAGGGCACGAGATAAGTCTGTGCCCAGATGGTTGGCTGACAGGCAGGTAGGCCATCCAGTGCGCCACGGCTTCCACAGATGACATGTTTTAATGTATTCATTGCTATCGGGATGTTAAGAGCATTCCATGGAATATAACAACAAGTGTTTCTGAAGTGAATTACCTACCCCACCTTTAAGTATTTGAACATTTTTTGTCTGTATCATTGTTATTATTTTTAGCTTACATATGGATTCTACATTTTGTATATTTTGTAAGTAATTGCTGTTGTCGAATTTTTATTTTTATTATGTACTTTTAGTTATTTTATTTTAAATATATATATTTTGGTTGTACATGTTGTGTATTAATATCAATAAAAATGTGATCACAAGAAAAAAAAAGTATTTGAACATTTACATTACATTGAGCCTGACAGCATCAAAGTGAGAATCAAGGTGGGGATAAAAGCACGCTTGAAGTTTTTATACATCCTGGTCACGTAGGGTACAGCACCCGAGGGAGACATAACCCTGCCCCCCACATCCTCCAGCGAGTGTGTGTGTCTGCGGAGCCAGATGTGAGGGGGGGGGGGGACCTTGAGGAACAGCCCCGTGTCCCGCCTGTCATCTTCCTGCTAATGAGGGGGGACCAGGGGGAGGAAGCCGGGCAGCTGGATGAGTGTGTGTGTGTGTTTGGGGGGTATGTTCTGATGGGCTGAAGCATCGGGGTGACAGGCAGCGGGTTGGGGGAGGCACTTGGATCGGGGCTTAGCGGGGCCAGATGTGCACCGTAGACTTTGCAGATGTTTCCCATGATGCCTCGTGTTAATTGCTGGGGTGAAGTTCATCTAGGTCAAAGGGGCTGCATCTGTTAAAGAGCGGAGCTGGAAGACAAAGACCCCTGACTAACTGTGTGTGTGTGTGTGTGTGTGTGTGTGTGTGTGTGTGTGTGTGTGTGTGTGTGTGTGTGTGTGTGTGTGTGTGTGTGTGTGTGTGTGTGTGTGTGTGTGTGTGTGGCCTGGCATTACTATACTTGTGGGGACCTAAATCTGTTTACACAGTCACGTGTGGGGACTCACCTCCCTTATGGGGACAAATTGGAGGTCCCCATAAGGGCAATCATTAATTTTAGGGTGAAGACTTGGTTAGGTTAAGGGTTAGGCATGTGTTGGTTATGGTTAAGGTTAAGATAAGTCTCCAGGAAATGCATGTAAGTCAATGTAATGTCCCCTGAAGTGATGTATACATGGTATATGTGTGTGTGTGTGTGCGTGTGTGTGTGTGTGTGTGTGTGTAGGGTTTAAATGTGTAAGGGACAACATGTGTGTCCTCTTTTTGGTGTCAATCTTACTTAAAGTCCTGTTGCATTTGATCTGTCTCAAAAATATTTACACATTAGCTGCTTATCACGATTATTGGATGAAATATTTAAAAATGTAAAAAATGATTTTACTAGCGTCCTTTAAGGAACATTTTAGGACATTTTTGGAAATATACCTATTGCTTTCTTGCTATGAGTTAGTCACAAAGTTTGATACCAATCTCAAGTCTTTGCAGCTAGTTCTTTCCATCAGTTTCCAGTCTTTTGTCATATGTAGAGTGGCATGTAATATAACTCTCGGCAAAGATGTTGAATTATTCCTTTAAAATGTACTCTCATCAAATATGTTTATTATATTATTTTAAGTAATTTAATAAATATTGGTGTTATAAACAGAAAAACCCAGATGGAGTTTCAAAATAGTATCAAGTGTTGGGCATCTTCCTTTCACATAGGTATTACTTTCATTTGGAAGTAATAAGTTACCATACAATATTACTGGCTGTGTAGAGAAGTGTGTAACATATACCACTGGTGCTTACACATACATTCTGACACACATTAAACCACATTATTCTGCCTACTTACTGTTGTGTACTCAAAGTAATAGAGGCAGTTGTCGGTCAGGATGAACCACCGTCTCTTCCACGTCTTCACCCTGCCGCCTGCAAAGAAAAACACACACTATTTTAGTTTAACCTGAAGGGGCGACAGTGTTTGTGCATGTGGAGGCTAACCTGCAGCAGACCTCTGCTCCACGCGCCACATCTGGCTCTGATCATCAGCTCTCTGCATTATTAGACTCAATCAGGAGGCTGGATACTCCCTGCAGCACCCCCTCCCCGTCTCTAGGGACGCATGCCTGAGGGCTGGGAAAACTGTTCAACACGCTGCTACCTTACAGAAAAAACCAAGACATGTACACGCCACATACATGTGAAAGCTTTGGCAGGAGTGCATTCAACTTGTTTGACCAGACTGACAGATTTGATGAGCTTGGTTTGAGAAAAGCCTGATATTTTAATTCTATAAAAAGCAGAGACAGAAGCACGATTGTTCCAGAGAGGGTGTTTGGATTTGTAACATGTGAAAACATCTGAGAGTAGGACTGACATCCTCTCCATCTGCCTTAGATAAAAGTAGATTATTGGGATTACTGGATTGTCTGGTAATTACACCATCAGTGAAGCCATTTACCTAAGTAATCCAAAGAAAACACAATGTGCCTGATGTCAATGTTCAGTCTGCACAATAATAACAAATTTGCTGACTTCACAGAGTGAGCACAAAGCAGCCGTTACTGATGTAATCAATATGTAATGTTCACTTGACCCAGATTTCCACTTTATACGGCAAGCTGGAGTAAAAATCCAACATATATAGTACATTATTAATGAGCAATGTTTACTAGAGATGCATACCGCTGCATTTTACGCACTGAAATGGATTGAGGATGTGAAATATGCTCTACTTTTGTTCCGTAAATATACAATTAAAGTTTGATTCTGCTACAGTCAACCATTAGAGCCGTTTATCCCATTTAGCCATATGTTTAATTTAATCCTCAAAACATGACATTTATAATGGATGTTTGCTGCAGGACCTCCCATGTTTGCATGCTTCTAATTTAGATTCATCACTCGCTTGTTTGCTCAGGGAGACTACTGAAAAGGGAGTGAAAAATAAATGTGCACAAATGCAAGAGGGCTAAAAGTATTGACTCAATTTTCATTATCTGTATTAATGAACAGGATAAAAAAGATTCCAACTAGTGTAATTTGGTCAAAATTGTATTTTCTGGAGTTTTTGCATGGAACACAGCTAAAATAGTCATTTATCTTAACTTAATATTAATAATTGGTATTTTTGACAGTTTTGTCCATTTAAAATGCTTTGACTTTGATAGGAGGACATGAAAACGTGCTTTTCTCTTTATTTTGTCCCAGATTACTTGGCTAGTTTTAACCCACAGAGGTGCTGTTTAAGCTAGCAGGCTTTGTGAAATATATGTTTAGATATCAGTATTTTATGACATGCTGTTCCTACTGGATGATGATGAATTCAGGCAAAGCAGCAGGCTCAGTCCTGGTTAGTAATGTAGTGTAATGAGCGCTTATGGAGCTTCACAGCCTGATATTAGCAGTGCAGAAATGTTGTATTAAACATCAGAGCAGGCCAGCTTCATTCAAACAACAAAAAAGGAACGTCTTATTAAGCAGGGACTCCTATGATGGAGGTAAAATTAGCGTGGGATCTGCTAGTGGGAAGAAATTGAAGATAAAATGATGTGGCTAGTGCAGCTGGTGGGATAGAGAGCAAATGAGAAAGACAGGGGTCTGTAGACAAAGAGGAGAAGCAGCATTAGCGTGGGTGAACTGAGGCCCATTCACTAAAGCTTAGCATGTGTGCTCGCTAAGCAGAAGCTGTGTGACGCGCAGGGCTGTCTCTAATGGTACAGAGGATGAAGTGAGCGCTGGGTGTTTGCTTGAATATAGGAGGAAGCAAACATCTTTTATGTCGAAGTAATGCATGTTAGCGCTTCTTGGAAAAAGCTGCTAAAGCATGCAGAAGTTTGAAACAAATAACTTAATTTAGTTGTTTGGATCACTTGCTAATGCTTAAAAGGTTCTAATGTAACATGTTGTACCTTTACAGCTATTAAGAAAAGTAAAACATTTTGGGTAAAATATTTCACTTTCTTGCCAAAAGATAGAAGTTTGATACCACTCTCATGCCTGTATGCTAAATATACAACCCAGTCTCACGGCATTTCGTGTTATAGTCACGAAATTAATGTCATCTATTGATTCGTGTTCATCGGGTCTTAGAATACCAGAAGCTGTGTGGTTCATAAAAACGTTTTCTTACTCAATATCTTACCCTGTAAATGTCGGAGTTTTTTTGCCGTCCGCAAGGAAAATAAATGGGGCTCAGAGCCTCAGAATACTGTACTGAATACTATAATACTGAATAATAATAAATATATATATATAATACTGAATCTGTATTTAAAAAAATCTTTTTTCCCTTCTAATTTGTTATTATTTGGTGCAGGCAGGAAACATACTACAAATAGAAATGCATTGCTTCTAAAATCGTGTGTCAGAATAATGAAATCTGTATTTTTTTTAAAAATCTGTTTTTCCTTCTAATTTGTTATTATTTACATTGCTTTTAAAATCGTTCTGTGTGACACGGAAAAAAATGGCGAAATCGTGTTGGTGAACGCAAATCAATAGAATAATTTCGTGACTATAACATGAAATGCCGTGAGACTGTGTTGAAATATGAAGCTAGCATTACAGCCAACAGCACGGTTAGCTTAGCGTAGCATAAATACTGGAAACATGGGGAAGCAGCTAGTAACTTACAGTTAGTAAGTGAGGTGCAGAAAGGTGGATATTCGTATTAAGACTGACCAATGCTAGCTAAGCTAAGCTAGCAGTAACTTTATAATTACTGCATAGATATGTGTTTTATTGTGTTGTTTACCAATTTTCTCTGAATTTTCAACAAAAGCTGATTAAGCACTGACTTTTAAAGTCTTGGCCAATATGGAAGTAAAGTGGGAGTTAAAGTCATTTCCAGTAGCCTAAAGTTATACACTGCATTATCAAACTGCATGCAACGTAAATACATGAGTTTAGAGAAGAATAAAGATGTGTTCACCTTAATTTCCGCGTACAAAAGTAAGTACAAACTTTATTTAATGTGTATTTGTTCCAATATTTTATGATTACCAATGTTTTGTATCTAGCGTTTCCTTTATTATCTATACATTTGATGTTTTCTGTGAAAAACGGCAGGACAATAAAGGGGAAGTGGCGAGTGGCACTGTGGTTTGATGAGGTCAAGAGTTATCTTTTATGCAAAGGATTTGAATTGTGCGTATATTGTGTGTGCACCATCTGAGACGAGCCCTCTGCGTCATCCAGCCTCCTCCAGAGCTACAAGAGGAATGCAAACGATCCCCATGCACAATGAGCGAGATCACTGACCTCCAACTCGCCCTGCCTTTGAATGAGATAACGCATCACCTCGTTTGCCCAATGACAGCTCTGATTCAATAAGCCAATTAAATGAGGCGGGTAGCATGTTCTGTGTGCTAAGGAGATAATGGCAGCCAATGCCAGTGTGAGGGCAACCTGTGATGAATCCGAAGGAGGGAGGAAGGAGCGTTACCTACCTCCTAATACAGATTTTTAAGAAGGAACATCCATCACAGAACATAATGAGAGAACAGAACGAAAGTGGGAAAGGTTAGAGAAAGGGAGGAACAAAAAAACACATAAAAGGATTTTTCAGAAAGACACAACAACCACGTAACACAATGCCAGAGATACGAAGTTTAATCAACAAAAAGAGGCATGCTTGAAGAGTGAGGAAGAGGAAGGAGAGAGAAGACAAAGCAAAGAGGAGAGGACACAAGATGAAGGACGAGGAAAGAAACAAAACACTTTGCAGTTGCGTAAGAAAGCTCCTTTTTTTCGGGCAAAAATTAGCGGCAAGAGCAGAAGCTTGAGCAGAAACTCATTCTACTGAAATGACACAGAAAAAGTCAAGAGATATCGTAGGAATCATCTTTTTTCAGCCATTTATGCCTAAACTGTCAACCTCTAACATGTGCACTGGAAAACCCAACATAAACAATAAACCCACAACAACACAAACACTCATCGCCAGAGAAACGAAGGACACTGCTTATCAAATCAACGCATCATTAAGATGACTTAAAATGCACATACCAAGCTTTAAGAGCCAGCCCTCTCTGTCGGGGTTGAAGAACGTGTGCGTGAGATCGTTCCCGTCATCCTCTGGGATTTTGAAGGGCTCGTTTTTGATGCTGTCGTAAAGGTTCTGCAGACAGGGGAAGGGAGTTATTCATCAAAAGGCTGAACAGTGTTAGAAGTGCCTTGCTCGTTTGTAGTAGGCGTGACAGAGAGATCACAGAGGTCAATCATCACACACAGAGGAACACACACATTACGGACGAGTCCTCACCCTGAGAAGCTCCTCGGGCAGATCCCCCCCCCTCGTTGATGCCTCTGTTCATGGAGATGAAGCGCTCCACGGGGGGCTTGTCTCTGACGTTGGGGTTGTGGAGGCTGGTGTTCAGCATGATGATGGCAAAGGACAGTACGTAGCAGGTATCTGAGAGCAACAGAAAGGGAATCAAATTGATCAATAACACATTATAGATCATTAAAGTCACGTTTCACATTTTCTTTGGCGGATATTAACCTTCTTCATTAGGAAGTCCACCATTTTTGTTTTATCTGAGGTGTAACACTTTCAGGTTCAAGTACATATAACAGGATGTCATCAGCATACAGTGTTATTTTGTGTATTAATGTATTTCTTTACTAGCGATACACAGATGTATTGGCCACCGGTTAAAGCTCGCAATTTAAGACATCTGCAATCTAAAATGATAAGCCTTGGAGGAACAACCTTAAAATTGTTGCGATTTGGGAGAAATGTAATAATTTCATAGTCAAATGTAATAATAACAAATTACAAATACTGTGTATACTGCAAATGAAAGGTCTTAGGGGAAAACAAATTGATTGGCCAAGCGTATTGCACTTCAGCTTCTTACACATATAGCCGTTTCTTATATCGCTTAATTATACATTTACATATTATGATATTAATTTGAAAGAATTTTCCTCAGTTGCTGGTAGGGACAAGACGGATACAGACAGAGCAACGTCTGTTGGCTAGACTCTGGAAACTAGTTAATTATTTTATTTGTGTGTGTGTGTGTGTGTGTGTGTGTGTGTGTGTGTGGTGTGTGTGTGTGTGTGTGTGTGTGTGTGTGTGTGTGTGTGTGTGTGTGTGTGTGTGTGTGTGTGTGTGTGTGTGTGTGTGTGTGTTAGAGGGAAGAACAGTATAGTGAGATGGAATGGGGGGCAGGCAGGGCTTGAGTCTCTCGTCTGTGAGTTAATGTTCAGACACACACGGGCCACTGGCTGCCTGTAAATGAATCATTCATTCCCCTCTGTCTGTCTGCTCTCCCTGACACACTTTGCCCCACGCTGCCTATTGTCTGCCTGCAAACACATTCTTTATAAAAAATAGAAGAGCTTTGCACGCAGTGTGTAATGCGGGGCAAGAGGTGCTGCTAACTGCGAGAGGAATGTCAGCGTAATCAGAAACTAGACGAGCACGAGGAAGAGAGAGAGAGACGGGTTGCTCTTTTCCATCAGTGATTAAAGATCATTTTATTTAAAATGGCTTCACACATACATGACTGAATACCAGTGGTGGAATGCTACTGAGCATATTCACTCGATTACCTTATCTAAGTTATATTTTGACATTATTGTAGTTTTTCTATTTAAGGCTAATGTATACATCTACTGCTCCTCTACGATAGTTACTTTTCTACATATAAAACATATGATATTCCCATATGACATAATGCAGTGCTACTATCTTCTACCATTTTCGGAAAATAGTTTGAAACCATTTTCAGTATTTATATCATTAATAATATAATAACACTAATAATGCATTATATTGCTATACATATATTTCATTTTTTACTTTTCTATTTTATTGTATTCTTTTTAATTTTATTTTGAAAACATCCAATATCTCCCTGGAGAGACAATATTTCAGATTCTGATGCATGGATGGATAATATGTGACTTGCTCTATCGAAATCAGTCGCATTGACCCGAAGACACATTTCGAGTTGTATTGTTGGAAAGAGGAGATTCCTAGCTTTCTAATGATATCAGGATTGTTGTTGTACTCCAAATATTAAGCAAAATATGTCACTTTATATAATGACTTTCACCGAGTCATCGTTTTGAGAAGAAGGCCTTCAAAGTTTCCTCTTCTCTGGAATCCATCGATCTGATTGATTATTAGCGGAGCAAATGATCAAAGTAGTATGAGTGTGTGTCTGTGTGTATGTGTGTGTTTGTGTATTTTTGCGTTTGTGTGTATTGTGTTTGTTTCCCGGGGAAAACACTCACGCGAAACACCGGCTGTTGTTTTGCCTGCTGTGACGTCAAGTTACTCCGTTCTCCGCTTGTAATTATACCGAAGCTTCAAAGCTGTATTTATCATCTGAATTTGCCGAAACAAGTTTAATATTCTGAAAGCCAAGACTTTGTTTAATTGAAATCAGATGAAAACAAACTGTAACGGACCCGGCCGTGTTATCTATGATTACTATACGCGTACATTCATAATGTCAGCCGGAGGGAGGGGGAGCGGCGCTGCGGAAGAGCAGAGTGGCGAGTGAGCTGTCATTTTCCCTTTACAAACTTCAAACATGTATTTATCGTGTGATTTTGGAAATAAAAGTTTCATATTCTGAAAGACAAGACTTTGATTATTTAAAATCAAACAAAACACCCGAACCCCGAAAAACGATTTTTTTTACGCAAATCCACGTTTATTTTGAAATGAGCCGTTGCGACTTCCGACTGCTTTCGATAGAGCGGGTCACATATACAGTTTATTCTCTGGAGAACATCACATATCTCTAAAAAGCTTTGTACAATATTACATTTGATTTAAAAGATTTAAACTTCTTTAATTATTTACAGCCTGTTGTAGTTGTACTCTTTGTTTATCACAAGAACACGCATCACTCAGCCACATTGCGCCGCTATGGATAATGGATGTCTCTTGTTTGTTGCTACTTGTTTACTCTTCTGCTGCAGTGATCATGTGATCTGAAGTTACTGTAATCTGGTTGATCCTCATTGAGCTCTAGTTACAGTAACTCTCAAGGCTTAATGAATCAAATGCATTTTTTTTTTAAAGGCTAATGCTCAATGTATCCTGGACCCTCAGGCAATTCTTCTGTTGGCACATTAGGGTAAACTGATGTTCAGTGCATTGACATTGTCTAACATATTGGAGTTCACACTCTGCTCTTTTGTGTCCCAGGGGCAACTTTTGCAACAACATAGACAATTAACTAAATCCAACTTGTTTTAAACTGCTTGCAATTTGATTTAAAAAGAATAAATGCAGCTGTAACATCAACACTGTTGGGATTAAGAGTTAATAGAACTAGGTCGCAAGAAAGCAGAGAAGTCTAAACAGAGAGTAATAGATGAAATGGTTGAAATAGTTAGCTAAGATTAATAAATAGTAGGGCTGTCCCGTATACCATTTTTCGGGCTCCGGATATTCGGTAGTAATCAGCAGCGACTATTCGGATATTCACTGTAACAGGGTTTCGGTTTATTCAAGGCATTAATTTTGTTATTCTACAGTATTGTTGTTTTATAGTTATTTGTTAATGTAATTAACCCAATTTATGTTCTTGGAGATTGAAAAGGATATTGTGTTCGTTACTTTCGTTGCAGTTGTATATATGTCTTAAGTGTAATTTAGCTTGGCTTCCTATTTTGTATGGACATGCTTTTATTTTGAAGGAGAGTTAACTTAGCGCTGTTGACAGGAAGTTGTTGTTGCTATGGTAACAACGTGACAGTCATATGACGGAGAAAAGTAATATCTTACATATAAAGACGGAGAAAGTAAACGATAAAGTTTATGGTTAAGTGTTAGCACCCCCCGAAGAGGCACAAGCTCTTACGTTGATATTGGAGATTTCATCTGCGGCTGCCAAAAAAAACGGAAAAACAACGAATAACGAAATTGAAAACCGAATAGTGGGCCAACGACGGGGTACAGCCCTAAAAATAGTAAGCTAAATAATTTTTTTAAATGGATTGTAAAACACAACAAAGTAAAAAAAAAAAAGAGTTAGCAAATAGGTGATATAATAAATGCTTCAAATAGTAAAATAAACAGTTGGTTAAAAAAAAAAAAAATTATATTACAAATGCAAAAGTGAAAAGCCGACCTCAAGACTGACTTCCTCCAATAAATATGATATGCATGTGTATATAATTAAAGTGTTTAACAACATCCTGTTTAAGATCAATTGAAAAGACAGTTGATGTTAGTGAAGGGGGCTCTGGAGCTGATCCAAAGGGCCTTTGGGGAAATCGTCTCACATGAAAGGTTTGGTGAACAATGATCTACTCAACAGACTCTGACTCTGACCTGTGGACTGGAAGACCCCCGGGTTGCACTGGCAGTACCGCGCTGCAAACGCCTCCATCATACGGTCAATCTTCTGGGCTTCACCTGGCAGACGGAAACTCCACAGAAACTGCCTACAAATGGAGGAGAGAATGGGAATTTTATTTGTGATGCTAGGGTGCATACAACTTTTCATAGTTTTTAGAGTTGTGCTGACCTTAGTGCTTGGACCAGATTGAGGTCTGCGAACTCATGCAGCTCCACAAAAGCCGACAGCACCTTGAGGTTGAAGTCCTCCCTGTTAGGAGAAAATACAGATGAAAAAATCTGATTTCCAATAGCCATTCTTTCAAATATCATCCAGAGAAGATGCAACATAACTCTAGACAATAAGCGAGCCCAGAGGAAAGGGCGAGGAAAACCAGATTTCCTCCATGAAAGCATTTCTCAACCTGGATTCGCGTTTCCCAGCATTCCTGTCATGTTTGTGCTTTTATTCATACCGGGCGCTGAGCGTGGAGTCTGGAAGCAATTTAAACAGCTGGCTGATGCTGAGTATTTCTCCCCCCTGAGGCGAGGAAACGGTGCGTTTGACTGATGAAAAACAGCTAAAACACAAAACCCACACAGGCTCCTTTTGTCAGAGGTTTGTTTGGCTTTTGGAGGGTTTCTTCAGTCCACAGCTGCTCTCGGGCTGCGGTCACAGCTTCTCTGATCGTGTTTGTTGTACATTAGGGGCCATAATCCTGAGCCTGCATCCTCTTTCTGTTGTTTATTGTACAAATGAAGCCAGGACATTTTTAGACTTTTTGTGGAGCGACATCAAAAACAGCGTTGGTTTACGAGAAACAAAACAAAAACATGTTTCGCAATAACAGTCTTGGATTACTTACGATGACTCGGGGGGATTTCTTCTACCCTACACTGTCATCTGCAGCCAGATAAAATGAATCCTGTCCGATGAGGGTTGCATGTAGGTTTATTTCTATAGGTACATTTATTAAAAAGAGACCTGAATGTGGTTTGTCATTTGCAAAAATGAAATTGCATTTATTCGTGTCTCAGTTTCAGGAACAATAAGATGGAGGCGTGTGGAGCAGTGGGTTGTGCGTTGGTGTTGGGATCAGTAGGGTCACAGGTTCAAACCCCACTGCAGTCAGCATGTCGTTGTGTCCCTGGACAAGACACTTCACCCCAAATTGCTCCTGTGGCGATTGCCCACAGTATTGAGTATGTAAGATAAAAGTGTCTAACAAGTGACATGTAATGATTAGATCTAGTGGCGTCATTTGGGAGCCAATCACCTGCTTATCCTGCATCTCCCCTATCTTTGCTCTCTGCATCTCCCCCCTCTTCCTCCCCCTCTCTGCTCAGCATGTAATGATAGGTTCTGCTCCCTGCATAAGCTCAATTAGTGATAATTACTGCGTGTAAACCCTCCGCCTGTGTTTAGTGTGATTTCCACAGGGTAGGTGGGCTCTTTGATGATCCCCTGTGAGTAAAGCCCACCGCCAACATGAAGAGTCCCCAGAGCCCCCGACGACTGACTCACATTGTGCTTTGTTTCTGTGCTAATGTAAGATAATTAAGACTGTAGTTGATGTGATTTCCTAATTCCTACATATGAAGACTTCAGACTGTGCTGCTTTAAACAGAATCCTCTTCATAAGATGATTTAAATACTTCACAGCTCTTTCACTGTTAAATTCGGTTTAAACTGCACATATTTATTTAATCTTTTTATTGCTTTTTTGTATGTTTTAAATGTTGGTTTTTATTTTTGGGGGATTTACAATAGTTTATATATTTTTTTTACATTTGATTTAACTTTGAATCTTAATTTCTATAACTGTATTTACTTTAGGTATATTGCATCAGTCATAGCTTGTATGGGAAAACCCAGAGCCCTAGAGAGATTATCTCTCTAGGGCTCTGGGAAAACCTACTTAGAGAAAAACCTGACTTCAATTACATTTTTTGTCCTAAAAAGAGTTTTTCTCAATGTTTCTATTAATATATATAATTCATAATTAATTACAAAAATAATTATGTATATTGTTAATCCATCTTCTCTCTCACTAAGACCTTTATACAAAGACTGTAACATTTGGTACAACTAAGTCAAATATATTATATTTTACTCACAAATATAAAACAATGAAATGGCCTGCCTTGGAAATGTTTAAATTAGAATTGTTTTGTTCTATGACATTTTGGGTGTTAATTGCTCGCTGCCATTTTCTCTCTACACTTCTCAAAGATCATCTGTCAATCAAAAAGTTTGACAAGCCTGTGACGCTTTTTTCTGCTAAATATTTTATTCAGGCAGAGCAGATATCAATACTCTAACTACCCAGATCTTATTCTGTAGGATCTCCAGTAAAAACAAACTTTGAGGGATCCTTACAAAACAGGTCCTGCTGTTAAATACATCACCAGAATTAATCAGATTCATGTTAAAAAGCGTGTGTTCACAACAGCAAATGTAATCGTTTTCTTCTCTAACCACAAAGGGTGAATAACCCTCATGTGAGGAGGACGTTCTCCTGCCGCCTGATTAATGTTCTGTCTCACCGTTCGCCCAGGTAGTCTCCGATGACCGTCTTGTTGAGGCCTTCTCCTTTGTAGAGGAACTGGGAGACTTCTTCGGGGGTGTGCTGGAGGAGGTCGTTCTCCAGCAGGAACTGGATTCCCTGGAGAGGAAAAAAACGGGACGGCTGTTCATCTCGACTGAGGACGGACGATGGAAAATGGATCTCTCTTCAGACTATAAGAAAGTCATTCCTTTTCAAGGCTACAGAGACTTCGGAGGATGATGAAAACATGAGGCATTACCTTCTTTGGATCCATGTTGAATTTCTTCCTGCCCATGGCAATCTGTTTGTTTCTCTGGGTTGTTTTACTGGAACACAAGAGTTTAAATGTTAAATACAAATCTATACATAAAAACAGGTAGATGAGGCAACATCTTTGCTGCCTGCATTTTTCTTCTACTACACTTATGATGTTCAGTTTTATTTCTCAATAACTTCAGTATACATATAGCCACTATGTGCTTGAAAATACCTGCTCTGTTATAGAGATATTTTAGAGATTCGACCCCATATGCACATTGAGTTACTCACCTTTCTCCGACACACGTCAGCTGCTCGATCTCCGTCATGACTTCTGCTATCTCAAACTTCAACCTCTGAGAGAAAAGAGTGAGACAGTATTTAAATAAAAACCGGATAAAATACAGAGACAAAAGCATTAAGGCATGAACAGGACAGAAAATACACTGTACAGTTAGTAGAGCGAAGTGCATTACTTTCTGTAATCAAATTGAGAGTGCAATGATGTACTGCAAGTTCATTTGCATTACATAGATAGAGCATGCAAATACTTCTTCCGTGCAGCAGTAGAGAGCCATCAAAGTTCATAAATAACTAACTAACAATAACCAAAGTTGCAGTGCACTACTAATGAACTGAAGCTGAAATGCAACCTGTGTATATAGTGCTCATACGTGCACAAACACACACCTCAATATCATCGAGCAGCTCTCTCTTCCTGCGCCGGATGTTTGACAGCTCATCCCTCTCCTCCGGGGACAGATCCTCAGGAACTGAAACACACGATGGATAAAACACAGCACACTTTAACTCTCATTTTGTACACAGCTTGCATCACTCACAGCGCCCTGCAGATGAGAGAAAACTGGAGGAAATTCCGATCTAATAGCAGAAGAATTCACAACCAGGAATGGAAAATCGTAAGAAGATTCATCCTCCTCGTGCGGTAGAGTGACTACTGCTGCTGCTGCCTGTTTCTGCCTGTTCAGCTGCAGCATCATATCCAGAGCCTGCATGATCGTCTTAATTAACAAGAGGAAGTGAGAAGGGTCTTAATTATTCCACTTGAAAGTGTTTTGCCCCTCCGTCTCCACTTGGCCCCGGGGGAATATTATATTAATAAAACCAATCCAGATTAAGCGCTTTTTCATTAAAAGTGAATTTGCTCATTTAACACGGCCTACGACCCCGATTCCCCGGCATTGAGGGTTTTCCGAGCTGCAGGCATAAAAAAAAGAAAGAGGGGAGGATGTTCGGTGTTCCTCCCTCCTCTTCTTCACTCACATCTTTCTGTCTCAATCTTCTTTTTCAATCTTTTTATCCCACTCCTCTCTCCTATTCTCATTCTCCCCCCACGCACACATTATTTCTCCTGTACGATCTTGATTCATTAAGCCAGCTTAGAGGCAGAAAACTCAAATCTCTCAACGGGAAAATGGCACATCTAATATCACAGTCTGAGCTTTGTGCCTACATGTTGCCGAAGGAGAGAAATACAGATTTAAAAAACAACACTTGTTATTCTCCCTCGCAGGCGGAGGGAGCAGCGGCAATTACGGTAAAACAAGGTCACTGGGCTCAAGAGGAAGCATTCAACCCAGTTTTAACATCTTGTACAATAGTTGAATACAAGGGAGTGGAGTATATATATTCACATTGAAACTGAGACAAAAGGCACTTCCTAACCTTGCTATGTAATCCTGAAGCACCGTGATGAGGGGCAGGTAACAGCAGGAGAAACAGCAGAGGGATTTCCTTCATGTGATTTTAATACACCAGTGGGGGGAATTAAATGCTGAGACTATGAAAATAAAGATGATCATTAGCATTGCTGACCTCCAGCTACTTACATTATGCAACTGTGAGAGCTGTGAATCTGACTTTAAAGCTAATTAATACTGTAAAATAAGTTTCTTGATTCTTCTGCTCGAGGAATACAGCGTCTGTACTACAGGGTCGTTTGATTCTTAAGCTCGAGGTAAAGATGTATTGTTGCTCTTAACGCTCAAAGCAACAGTTCAACATTGTGGGAAATACTTTTATTACTGTTCTTGCTAAGAATTATAGAAGAAGATAGACAATACTCTTATATTTGGCCAGTTCATATAAGGCAGGGTTGCCAACTCTCACGCATCTGGCGTGTGACACACGCTTTCACTCTCAATCTCACGCTGCCCAAACTATTCTCACGCCAAAAACAAGATGAACCGGCGATCGTTTTTGGTTGGTTATTTACAATGTTGAGTTGACAGCTGCTCAAGCTGTTGATCCGCTCCCTCCCCACCCCCCACCACTCTTAACAACGTTAACAGACAGCAGAGCAGTGGGAGCCGGTTGGTCAATCCCCGACCCGTAATGCGCATGCGCAGATCTAAGATCCAGTAGAAATGATAAAAAGTAAAAGTCTGCTGCTTATTGTTCTACTAGGCCAAAATAGAGTCAAAGAGTATATGAGAGTGAGAGTGTGTTAATTAATATATTTGGCAGTTTGGAGTAAGCCTGTAGATTTGTTTGTGTGTGTGTGTGTTTCATGTATAGGCCTCTCACGATAATTAATTTTGTTGGATACATTTTCCCGGAAATTATTGCGATAAACGAAAATATTGTCGGCACCGTTGTATGACCATTTTAGACCACTGACATAATGATAATATATAATAATAATTCAAGTACATCCTTTCAAACTGCTAGTCACATCCTCATGTAAATGTAAATTAACCGAGTTCATTTTTATTTATCGTACGATAAGTCAATTAATTGCTTATCGCGACAGGCACACAATAAAACAGTGTGTTTGACTTTCATTAGTGAATGAAACTTTGTGCCCTTTATAGTCTGTGTCCAATATTGTGTATTTGTATATATTGTATATATATCCTATATATGCTAAGGTCCCGCTGCTGACACGATAGCAGTCATTTAGTGCGCATATGTGTAATTAAACCCATGATATCAAAATCTCACTCCAGCCAGGTACCCAAAGTTGGCAACCCTGTATAAGGCTAGAGCCAGCTGACTTTTAGCTTAGGTTAGTTTAGCAAAGAGATTGAAAATGCGGAAATAGCTAGCCTGGATCTGACTGCAGGTTAAAAAATACTAGCAGCACCTCTAAAGCTTAACTTTCAGCATGTTATATATTTTGTAAAACATTTAGTTTGACAGATGCAGTATTCCTCAAGTAAAATATCTGAGTTCAGGCAGCTAGGGTAGCCATTTCTCTCTGCTTCCAGTCTTTATGCTAAGCTAACCGTCCGCTGACAGTAGCTTTAGATTAAGCAACGTAATTGCAATCCATTTTCTCATGGGACTCTTGGCAAGAAAGAGAATAAGGGCATTTCCCAAAATGTCAAATTATTTCTTTAAACGCACCGGGTTAATGAGGCCATTGAGATTTAAATGTCAAATTGATTGACATTTTGACGAAGCCTTGGGAGAATTAATGTATTTTATCACTTTGGTTTGCTGGTTTAAAGATAAAGACTAAGAAGACACTGTAATTAAAAGGTCAACATATTAAACTTCTAAAAAGTTGTTCATTGTTCAAATACGAAAACTGAGAAATAAGCATTTTACACATAAAATTAACGTTGAGTGCAAATTAGCAAATGTTAGAACGCTAACGGACTAAGACAGTGCTAAACATCACTATGTTAGCTTTGTAATTATAATTAATTAGCATAGCATTAAGCTCAAAACACCAGTATTTGTAGGCTTGCTTGGTGCATGACTATTGAAAGTACATTGAATCCTGTCTATTAATGTAAAAATATTTCATATCCTGGCAGAACATGCAATATGAATATGTTAATTTGTGAAAGGCTTTTTATATGTTCACTAGACCAAACCAGTCAATAATAATCAGCAGATTGATCAACAATGGAACGAGAATAAATCAATATTAACAGCCCTAACATCGGGATTCTCCTTTGTCTTATCGAACATGTTGCTCAGAGGAAGATGATGAGTGAACGGCCGAAAGCTCCATGTTTTCCATTAGCCTGAGGGCCGCTGTGCATTAGCTAATGGAGATCTCCAGTGGCTGCAACAATGTGCAGGATTGCAATCTTGATTCATTACAAATCAAATGAAAAGCAGAGAATGCTTCCTTTAATGACAGCACACCCCCATTAATGGAGAAGCATTGCCATTATCCTCCAATCTGGGTCTATCTGACTGTATTACTGTAATATATGTCTTTCAAACCACACATGTGATAACAGTGAACCCAGTGCTAAGGTCTCTGCTCCAGAAGATAATCTTGTTTAGTGGTGGGGGGTTTCTACAGAGGTGGTCCATCAATTCCATTATTAACACACCTCCCCCTTTGACCTTCTACGACTCATTTAGGAAATGAGTTTAGTGTCTTTAGAAAGCAACAAGGGCGTCGTGGGGCTGGTTGTTACCTCAAACCAAACACAGCCACGCTTGAGTTGTAATCCAATAAAATCCTTTATGGTATGAGTCATTGCTTCGTAGTAAACCTAGTCAGGGTCAGATCATCTGTAGTGGGGGTAGCTGTAGCTGATGAGGAGCTTATTTGAATATGTGCGTGCAAAAATATAGACGTCAAGCCCATTTGAACCTCTGTGACTTCTAAAATAAATATGAAGCTCAGAAATCCACGTTATCAAGCGGTGGGTTGAGAGGGTTTAAACTCCAACATGTGCACCACAGAACAAGCGGCTCTGTTAATTTCCCCCCTCATGAAAAACAAAATCCCTCAAAATCTACTTTCAGGAATAAATCCCCTGCTGCTCTTCACACCCAAAACTAACAACTGTCCTCGGGCCCCCACTGAAACCAGAGGCTTTGGTGGCATTTAGACTAATGCCGTGTGCACAAACCCACACCCGTCTGCACAACTGTCACTTTGATTACTTTCTCTTGTTTATTTTTGGTTACATATCAATTCATGTTGAAGCCATTTGTTAAAAACTAATTTCGATGCATTGAGATATGTTTCAAGGGCTGTATTTATATCAGATGCACGGCACTTCAACACATGGAGATCAGAGTGGAAATCCCACGCTCACTTAACCCTGGCTGCAGCCCCAGTTTTCACTGACTTGTGTGAGTGTGAGAGAGGACTTATCCAGATACACTGGCTTTAAACTAGTGACTCAAACGGACTTTAAAGTGGATGAGCTTTAAAAGAAAAAAGGAAAGATAACCCTGTTAACCTGCTGGCCCTGCAGCACAATGGGACGCATGGAAGGAAGCAGGACGGCGAGTGAAACTTCCTCTTGGATCCAAACTGTAATCTAAAACCCACCGCCCCCAATCCCTCTAACTAATGCTGAAGACATGCTCTGCTTTAAAGCCTGGTTCACACATACAGACAGACATGTGCACATGAGCACACACTAAGGCCAGCTGGCGCTAATCCCACACGCTCGCCCTCCCCGCCGCTCTGTGAGCCCGATACGAGTCCGTCAGAGCGGAAGTGTGATGTATAACAGAGCATGCAGATGTTGGCGTTCACCAGCCGCTGCCTGCCTTTAACCTACTTTGCCTGAGTGATGAAATGATGTGACGGTATGTGCAGAAGCAGATAGTCTGAGTGGCTGTCTGCTGAGGCACTTTGGCTGTGAGGCCGATGTGAGGATGTTAAAGAGGTCACGTTACAGACGGTGAAGGGCCATGCACACATGAGACTATGAGCACGTGCAAAAAGCATGTAAGTAAAGCTGACATTTTAGGGCTACATACAAAAAACAACATCATTCAATATTCCATTAACATTGTTTTCTGGAAATTAAATCACTTGGTTCTC